TCTCAGGACAACTCAGGGATGAAGCCCCCTCGCTCTTCTGGCCCCGGGCCTTGCCCCAGCCCTGCCACAGAAGGTGAGGCTGTCCACCAAAGGGTCACAGACGGATCCCACCCACGGGTAAGGGACAGGTCTCAATGACAAAACACTCAGCCAATGGAATACTGTGAAAGGGCTGAATTGTTAGGCTTTAAATTTAGGAAAAAACAAAAACCAGTAATTAAAATGTTAAAGAACTCTCCCTCGGGAGTAGGAAATTGCCTTCCTCTCCCAACCTCTAAAATGTGTTCAGAAGGGCCAGGGGTGAGCTCCATGGTACATCACTTGCCTAGCATGCATGAGACCCTGGGTCTGGTCCCTAACACTGCAAAAAATGATGACAATAAAACAAAATACATCTAGATACTGATAACTAAGTAGATAAAAAGTAATGTCAAGCATTCCTCGTGGATGGTCTCCTATTGGTTAAAGTGGGTTATTACTTTGCAGAACTAGAAAGAAGTGCTGGGTGCAGCTAACTTTATAAAGACAAAAGGTTTGCTCAGCTCACAGTTTTGAAGGGCACAGAGCCTGCCTTCACTCTGTCCTGCTGACGCCCTGTGCCAAATGGTGATCAGCAGTGAAGGAAGCCGTGTCGGAGTAAGCAACCGTATCTGGACCCGGACAGAGAGAGACTGGCTCCCAAATCCCCGAGGACACGCCATAGGACCTGAGGCCCTACAGACCTCCCTGGGCCCCACCTCTTCAACAGTTCCACAGCATCTTCCAACGTCATCGCCCTGGGGACCACCTTTAATCCCAAAGAACTCTTGGGGGACACCCTTTCAGCGCCCAAACCAGCAGTTATACATACGCGTAGGGCCCCAGCGCTCCCTGGCGGCAGCTCCAGAGCCGCCCGAACTGGGCGCCTCACCTCCCCATGTGGTGTGGGGAGCTGACCGCGCCCTGGAAGAACCTGACGGAAGGTGAACGAGCAAGTGCACGTGGGTGGTGCCTGCTTGTGGGCTCACGCATGTGAAGGCTCCAGTGAGTAGTGGGTGCCCTCGTGGCCACGTGGTCTGTTCAGCTGTCACCCTTAAATACTTCCGTTTCCCTAAACTTGGCGCCCCACCCCACCCGTGGCCAGGAGGAGCCGGGGCAGGACCAGAGCGGGGCAGGACCAGGGCAAGGCAGTCACCTCCCCCGACCCCACAGCTCACCCCCTGCTTGTCCTCCGGGACACAGGCTGGCAGAGACCTCGCCCACCCCAAGCGTCTCCTACGATTACATAATGCTAATTGCCGGCTTTGTGTTCCATTTGGCAATTTGTTCAAGTAATTGAACAAAATATAAATAATGAATAATCATAATTAGGTCCTTGAAACTTGACACGGAAAATATTTCAGACGCTTCTTAAAAGCCGCACTCGGGAGGGGTGAGGCTGACTTAGAGATGCAGAAAGCTGTGAATGGCTCTCTGCCTGGACCCGAACAGTCCCCGCCCACCATTCACCATCCAGGTGTCAGTTCCCGCCCATAACCCTCACCCACCAATCACCATCCAGGTGGCAATTCCTGCCCATAGCCTCACCCACCAATCACCATCCAGGTGGCAGTTCCTGCCCACCAATCACCATTACAGTGTTGGCTCCCGACCACAGCCTCAGCCCACCAATCATCATCCAGGTGACAGTTCCCTCTCACCACCCACCAATCATCATCCAGAAGACCGCTCCCAGTACAGCCCTGCCCACCAATCACCATCAAGATGACAGCTTCCGTCCACAGCCCTGCGAATGAGAACACGGATGTGAGTGGCCGACCCCAGCTGGGCGCTGGTGGGTGGACCTGGAACAGGAGTTGCCTTCCTCCATTCAGTGGGGCAGCGAGTCCCTGAGAGTGGCCAGGCCATCCGGCTGCCCTGCGTGGGGCCTTGCCAGGACCTGGCACCGGAAGGCCCTTAGAAAGTGCATCTGAGAGCAGGGAGCCTGTCCTGCAGGGGACCTCCTGCCCTCCTCTCCAGGTGGACAGTGACGAGACGGCCACAGACCCCTGGGATGGAGCTGTGGTGGCCACTCAACAGCCAACCAGTGGAGAAACCCGGCAACCCACATCGCCAAGTGGTGCAGGTTTCATGGTCAGGAATGGACCGAGGGACAGCGAGTGGCCCCAGTACGTGTTCCACGGGGCCCGGGCTCGCCTGTGTGGGGCCCTGCCAGGTATTCGTAACCTAATGGAAACCCGTCATCCTCCAAACATCAAAATCCTGGAAGGAAAAGGAAGTCCTAGGAGGAGCTTCTGACGAACAAACGAGGAGCCGCGCACTCGGCTCTATCGGGGACTTTATTCTGCTATAAAGGACATTATTAGACAATAATCATATTATCAGTAAATCAGATAACAGCGGTGTCCGTGTTAATTCCCTGTTCTTGATCATTGTGCTGTGGCTATTTAAAAGAAAATCCTCATTTTTAGGAAATAACACAATAAAGTATCTAGGGGTTGTTATGGTTCAGATATGAGGTTCAGAAGCCCAAGGTGGTGCGGTGCAAGAATGTTCAGAGGTGACATGACTGGGCTGTGAGAGCCTCAACCTAATCAGTTAACTGGGCGTAACTGTAGGCAGGTGGAGTGGGGCTGGAGGAAGTGGGTCACTGGAGGCTGCCTTGGGGTTTACATGTTGTCCCTGGCGAGTGCAGCGCTCTCTGCTTCTTGGTGGCCATGTATTGAGCTGCTTCCCTCCACCACACCCTTCTGCCATGACTGTCCACCTGACCACAGGCCCGGAGCCATGGAGTCGGCCAACCACAAACTGACTTCTGAAACTGAGCCAAAACAAACTTGTGCTACTCTACACTGTTTTTGTCAGGTCTTTTGGTCACAGAGACACAAAGCTGACTAACCAGGATAAAGGAATATCTGCAATTCGACAATCCAGAAAAATGCATGTGTGTGTGAGAGAGAGGAGGCAACTCACAGCTCCAACCCTGGGGTCTGATGGCTGGAACTGTTTTGCTATTCTTACAGTTTTCCATTAATGTTGAAATCATGTCAAAACACAAAAGGAAAAACACAAAAAGAACCCAGGTACCTGCTTCCCAGCACCCTTTGGAGCGAGGGGTGAGCACAAGACCATTATGGTGAGTGAATTGGAGGGGAAGGGGAAGGCTGCTGAGGATCATCTGGGGAAATTTTTTCCCCTTAAAAATAAGAAACAGCTACAAAGAGAAGCCTCACCGTGCTGGTCGGCTGTCAGTGACATCAGTGTGTAAGATGTCTTAGCTGCAGCAACTATCTTGTGACCATGAGGAGAAGGCCAAGAAACCCCCAGATATCATGTCCCAAGTCCTGATGCAAGGTCAATGGGATCATCCAGTTCCTATCCTCATCAAATCCCATCCATCATGCAAGGCCYAGCATGAGAGCATATGTCACTCAGGACCAGGGGCGAGGGAACGCCTATGCCAAACAGTAAAGGAGACCCCTGGAGGCCTAGAAGTGGTTCTGTTCTGCTCACAACTCACCCATCTGTGCAGACCACACTGGTCGTGAAACCCCAGTCCCGACTCAGTCTTGAGGGAGTTTCTTGCCTCAGTTCTGCCCCTTTTCCCAGACCCTAACTTCCTCCTGGTGAAGTTTTTCTGAAGCACTGCTACTCAGGCTTTTCCTCAAACCATTAAAATCAGGATCTGGGCCTGGAAACCGGCATTTTATGGTTGAGCTATAACACATATATATAGTCCACTGCAGAAGCTTAAGTCGACATCTCAGTTATTTTTATTGTAGTAAAAATATACATAACTTTATATAAAGTGGCAAAATTACCACGTTAGTCATTTTTGAGCATACAATTGAACGGCAGCATGCGATGCCAAGATGCAGGGGCTCTCAGCACGTTCACGATGCGGTGCGAATCTCTCCTGTGCGTTTCCAGAACTTCTCTTCCCCAGCTGAACCTCCCAGCCCATCAGATGCCAGCTCCTCACTCCATCTCCCCCAGGTCCTGCTAACCCAGTTCTGCCATGTCCACTGTCGTAGGTGCCCATACAGCCGGAGCCACACGCTCTGTCCCGGGCACTGTGCTGCCTGTCAGTGGTGCAGTGTTCTCCAGCGCCACCTGGCAGCACTTCTCTGTGCTTCATTCGTTTCTGTGGCTGGACCACGTGCCATCGAGTGGCTGCACCACACCTTGTTAATGCAGGACACTGTGGCCGCCTCCGCCTTTGGGATGCTGTATGCAGGCATCTGTGTGAGGGCAGGTCTTTGGCACACACCTAGACTGGGCTTGCTGCTCGTGTGGTGATTAACTCTAGGTATTTGACTTCCTGAGGGGCCCACGCTCTTCTCCACAGTGGCTGCACCATTTTACATTCTGAGCAGCCACACACAAGGGTTCCAGTTTCCCCGTGTCCTCACCCAAGCCCGGTCTCTTTGTACACAGAGATGAACTCCAGTGAGCACGGCGTGGGGACAGAGCTAACAGTCACCCAGGACCCCCATGGGGATGGCTCTTGTTAAAAAGCTCCCCAGCACCCAGGGTTGAGGTCCATCCCCTGCACCTTTTGTCTTTCTGCCTCCGAAAAGGCTGGCTAACTCATACCCTAAAAATAAACCGGCGTCTAAAGACAGAATATTAAAAATGACATTGTCACCTTGACAGAGTGGCTAATAACGCCACAGTGGACAGGAGTCCATCAATCATGGGCTGCTGTTTCCGTCTGGGGAGCTGGGAAGAGACCTAGATGGAGGCCTCAGCCCCACTTCCCTTCGATGCCCCCCAACTGCACACGTGGCGTCCAGCAGCCAGGATTCAATTTGCAAGGTCAACCATGCAAAAACGCAGGACTAATAGAATTGTCACCTCTGTGTCACGGCCATTTACAACACACTCTTGCCAAGTCTGAACATGAAAGCAATTATGTGATACATACTTTGGCAAGAACCAGAGGTCCCCATCCAAGGGGGAGTGAGATGCGGCTGAGGCAGGTAATTTAAAAAAAAAAAAAAAAGAAAGAAAGAAAGAAAGAAAGGAAGGAAGAAAAGTCACAAAGATACATTCATTATGAAAAATTTCAAAATTTCCCCTCCTCTGGAAATCACATAGGAACTTAGGAGTCAGAATCGTTTGAAAGCCCCATTGTCTTAAGAGTATAAATAGCACCTTTTAAAAACCCACAATTTCAATCAGGCTGGAATAATAGGAAGAACCATTCATGGAACGCTGTCTTTTAAAATTTCATGACACGTGAATTGATCCTCACTCCAGATCTAATTAGAGGCTCTAGGCATATGGGAGTCTGCGATGGTGTCAAAGCCACGTGGAAACCACACTCACGATTGATCTTTTTCACCCGGGTATGATTTTTTTTTTAAATCAATCCAGACACTTGGGAACCACCCAAGGAAAGGCGCATGAACAGGAAGCACCCAAAGGGGATCCTCTCCCTCTTCCCAGAGCTCTCTCCAAAGGCCACATGCCAGGAAGGGGAGGCAGGAGCCTGGCCCCACTGGAGCTGCCAACCTGCACCCCTGCATGAGGCTCCTGCAGCCTGGTGGCCCCGGGAGTCCACCTTCCAGCCTGGTGGCCCCGGGAGTCCACCTTCCCCACGGTGGGTTCCTCCACGTGAGCATCCAGAAGCCAGGCAGATCTGCACACGTTAAGGCGAGAATGTCCCCAAGGCCCATGTGGCAAAGGGTGCTCCCCAGTGTGGCAGCACTGGAAGGGGGGGCCTTTAAGAGCTGGTGGCCTGGGGAGGTCCTTAGATCCCCAGGTGTGCCATTGAAGGGCATAGTGGTCCCCTGGCCCCTTCCCTTCCCATCTCTTCTGCACCCCTCTGCTCTGCCCTGGGATTCCTTCATGATGCATGGCCTCACTACAGGCCCCCAAAACAGTAGGGCCAACTGCTCATGGGCTGGAACCTCCAAAGCTGTGATCAAATCAACCCTTCCTCTCTATAAGCTGCTGACCTCAGGAGCTTTTGTTACCATCACAGAAACCTGCCCGACACCTGCTCTGCCCCTACGTCACTGGGCATCGCCTCTGCCATACCCCATGAGAAAACCACTCATCAGCCACCACAGAGGTGCCACACACCCCCATGGGAAGGACCACCTCTGCCATTCTCCTGGCCTGCCAACCCCCGGGTGCCTCTCTTGGCAGAGGACGTGGAGCTCCAAGGGCCACCATCTCACTGATGATTCACCCAGAGGCTCCCACAGGAGGCTGGCCTCCCTCTGCACCAGCGGGCCTCCAGCCGGACAAGCCAGTATCATTCGCCTTCATTATGCAGGGACACCTAGGACCAGGCACACAGACTTCTCCAGAACCCTATCTGGGCTCCTTCAGGCAGGAGCCAGGCCGGCCATCAATCCTCTGCCCTCCTAAAGCCGGGCCTTCTCGGACCCACTCCTGAGGCCTCCACAGCTGACAGCCAGCGCAGTGCTCCTTCCTGACCTGGGGTTCAGCCACTTCACGATGCCAGGGTAACCATGTCCCTGACCCCGGCACCCCAGGTCTCCTGTGCAGCCTCCCACTCTCAGCCCACCTGCCCATCCTCCAGGGAAGAGGTGGGCTCATGACCCAGGTACTGCCATCAGAACCTCCCATTCCCCAGATGGCACAGGTGGATCAGAGATGGGCATGTGACCTTGAGCAGACCAAGAAGACTCTTGACCTAAGAATGAAAGACCGAAGGCTGCACAGAAGTGGAGACAGGAGATGGTGACATGAGGATAGCTGACATCCCGTGCGTACCTGTTACAGGCCAGCACAAATGACAGGCACCGCCTCAACCCCGCCACCTAATAACAGTCTTAATACCTGCACTACAGATGGAGGAAACAAGGCTCAGAGAGGGCGAGTAACCTGCCTGTGGTCACACAGGGGTGCAGCCACCATTCAGGTGTAGGCACTTGGTTCCAGTAAATGGGGCTGCCCAAGTCAGGAAACTGTGGGAGGCCCAGCTATGTCTGAATTCCAGATATGCAATATTTGGGACACACTGACATTTAAAAAGCTATTTAGGCTGTGTGCGTGGTGGCTCTCGCCTGTAATCCCAGCAACTCGGGGGGCTGAGGTGGGAGGATCACAAGTTCAAAGCCAGCCTCAGCAACTTATCAAGGCCCTAAGTAACTTAACGAGAGCCCAGTTGGTGCTGGGGTTTCTGTTACTTGTCGCCAACAAAATCCACAGTCGTAACTGAAAAGAGGAGTGGACGCCCGTGCCCTGACCGCAGCCAGCAGGCAGAGGAGAGCCCAGGGCTGCAGGGAAGCCGGCCCACACCATGTGGGGCCCACAATGGCCACCCTCTTTGACACTCCCGAAATCACCCGCTGTGCTACTTGAGCCAGTGAGACAAGAGAAGGGACAGACAGAGGGACCAGAGGGGACGGAGCCTGGAAGCCTCTCCAGAGCACAGTGAGCCACCCACATCTCCTAGAGGTCATCTGATGGAGTACTGGACCACTGCTCACCTCTGCAGTTGCCAGAGGGCCATGCAACAGGGGAAGGTGTGACCACGGAGCCAGCGTGGCCAGGAGCGTGGACACCTCCTTCACAGGCCTTTACTACTGCCCTTGACAGGGACAAGATGGCTGGAGGCTGTTAGAAATGGTGTGTGCGGACACCCAGGGCAGCTGTGGCTAGCAGAGGATGGGGCACAGCTCCTCAAAGCCTCCTGATGGCTCTGCTGCGTCCAGGGCTCTGTGCTGGGCCACCCTGCTCTGCGCGCAGGTGCTGGGGTGACAGGGAGAGAGGAGGGGAGGGCGGCAGCTGTGCCTGAAGCTGTTGCCAGACAGAGGCCAGGGGAGGCCAGGCGGAGGCACTGCCCTGGGCCCCACACAGTGAGCACCCAGCCAGCCAGGGCACTGCTGGGCCCAAGTCCCAGTGGCCTCCTGGAGCCCTCAGAACACGACCCACGCCACCTGGAGCCGCTCCCCACTCACGTGCCCTGCAGTCCCCACGGGGCCCCTGCCGTCCTCTAGATGAGGTGGTCCCCTCGCAGGCCTCTGCCTGGCTGGTGGCCCTCCAGTCTTCACATGGTGGCATCACACTCTCAGACAGTAGCTGTGGTGTCCCCAGGAGAGGCACGCTGGCTGTACCTCCACAGCCGCGGCCTCCGCGACCCTGGCCGCTGTGGGACCCCACACTCAGGTGGGCACATGAGTTAGGACAGAGCTAGTCCCTGGTCCTGCAGGGCCCCCAAGAAAAACCACCCGATGGGGACACAGAAAGTTGTTTCTCAACTAGAAGGGTCAGGCCAGCATCCTGTAGCCCTGGCAGCTGCGACTGGAGGAGCTTCCCCACTCACCTGCCATGGTCAGTGGGCTTCCGTCCTCGCCCCAAGCACAGGCGGGGTGCAGGGTGCCCACGGCCCATCCTGCTGGGGCCAGTGTGTGCGCAACCTTGGCCTCAGGGTGTGTGTGCACAGACACTAGTCACACGTCTACACCCGTGCGCTGCTCACTTGGGTGCATGCACACTCACACCCCCCCCCCAGCCTAGTGTGGCGGAAGCCGACCTGCGAGCTCCCACCTGGCTGTTGAGCCTTGGGCACAATCAGGCCTCACCTCAGCCCTCCAGCCCCCAGTCACGGGCCCCAGAGGGGAAAGTGCCCTGCCCGTGGGGAGGGGGCTGGAGATGGACATAGAGGCCCTTCCCCCATGGGAGGGGCTGTGGCTGTCACCAGTCACCATGCCTGCCCTTCCTTGCCACAGACGGTCGCAGGAGGGCCCGGCACTGTCTGGACAGACGCCTTCCACACTCCCACGCAGCTGAGCACACTGTGTAATGGCCATGGCCGGAGGACATGAGCAGAGTGGACAAGTCTCCTCCTCCACGCCCCTGTCCCAGTGTGGACGAGACCTTCACACAGAGGACAGTGCAGCCACCAGACGGAAGGGTGACTGCCCCTGGCCTGGCCCCCCAGCTCACAAGGCCCTGGAGGAGCATCTGAAGACCTGAGGGAGGGTCCCTTCTGTCCCCCTGCAGCCCGTGACAGAGGCAGATGCACCAGGCCCAAGAAGAGTGGATTTCAGGTCACCTGCAGGTGAGGCAGACAGGAAGCCCACGGGGACCCAACTCCAGCGCTCGGTGCAGTGAGGAGGAAGGGGGCAGGCACCCCAGCTCCTGCCCTATGAGAGCACCTGCCCAGGCAGGAGGGAGCTGGGCAGGAGAGGAGGGCGCCCATTTGGACCAGGCCAGCTGCCAGAGCTCCCGCCCACCTGGGACACAGCCCCGGGCAGGCCACGTGGAGCCCAGTCTCCTGAAGCTGCTCCAGCAGGGCCTGGGGGGGAGGGTGGGGCAGCCTGTCCAGCAACTGGGGGTCCTCTAGAGTCATGGCCAAGGCAGCTCCACACCTGTGACCAGTGGCTGTGGTTCCAGCCCATCTGCCACTCTCTAATGAAGCTGTCCAGCGGGGCTCAGTCAGCCTGGGCCTCCTACAGGAAACAAAGGGCACACTAATTGGGCCTCTTCGGGCGCCATGGACGCAGCAGGCGTCCCTAAGCACCTGGGGGGAGAACAGGGCCTCGTGGATGGTGGCCCCAGCCCAGGCAGGGGCAGCAGGGCCTGAGCTCAGCCTCCCCAGGTGGCTCCACCTTCCCAGGGGCCGCTCCTTGCTCCTCAGCAGCAGGTGATTAGCAGGGGGCAGCCCCGGAGATGCCCATCCTCACCCCAGACCCTGGGGCGTGACATGGTTTGCAGGATGTGTTGGGGCCTCGTTGGCTCCTCAGCTAGTGGGAAATGGGGACGGTACCCTAGGTCACTCCCAGGGCAGTCACAGGGGTCCTGTGGCCGGCCTGGTGCTGGGCCACTGCACAAGGACAGCTCCAGGGCCACAGCAGCTGCAGGTGGAGGGAGAGCCACCGCCCGGCAGTGGTGACCTCTGACTCCCAGAACCACAGCAAGCGGGGGAAGTGGGTCACAATGGCCATGAGAAGCTGACACCGAGGATGGCGTTCCTGTCTGAGCACCCCATCCCCCCCGCAATTGCGACCGAGAGCACGAGCTGGCCCCTGAGGCTGCACACACGAGAGAGTGGTGTCCCAGAGAGCCATCACCTTGCTGCTGAAAGGATCCAGGAGACAGGCCTTCTGCTCTGACCAGCCCCCGCAGCTTCTGCCTTCCTGCCATTGTAGACACAGGGAGGGAGATGGCCACCCAGTGACCAAGTGACCAAGACAGTGTGCACTGCGGACGGGGGTGACAGGACAGGACCTGGAGCTGCAGGGTACTGGCCTCACACTAACAGCAGTGCCTGTAGCCAGCTGGCCACTAGTCCATGGCTAAAGACCAGGGTCTTAAAGGGCTGCCAGAGTTTGGGATGAGTAGCTCCAAGGCACAGTGGCAGCAGCACCTGACAGCAGAGCTTGCCTGGTGCACAGAGACCCAGYCATGTCCCCAGAGAGGACATGGGGCCCCTGACAGCAGAGCACAGAGACCCGGCCACGTTCTTAGAAAGGACATGGGGGCCCCAACAGCAGAGCCCAGCCTAGTGCACACCGTTATTTATTGCATGAACCCTCCAGTGCTCCCCTGTGTTCTCATGACCCAGAAGAACAGGACTCGAGGAGGCATTTCCTGCGCTCAGCTCCGCTGACCGCAGGGCCCACACCAGGGCTCCTGACGTCCGTGGGCATGCTGACCTCAGAGGCACAAGCCACCCACCCAGCTGCCAAGACCTGACAAGTGCCGGTGACACGACTTCAACAGTAATGTCCTGAGGGCTCTCAGGTGGAGCAAGTGCAAGAAGGCCTTTCTCAGAGGCCCAGGCAGCCCTGCTGGGCCAGGACCACGGTGACCACACTGCCTGCTGTGCAGCCTGGAGGACTCGCCAGGGCACCAAAGGTGACGGGGTGCACAGGCAGCACCAAATGGTCCCCATCAGAGCCCTAACCAACACAGAATCACCCTAACCACTCAAAGTCCACAGTCCGGGGCAGGAGGTGCTGTTTGGCCGGAGTGTGACGCGGTGCGTGAGTCCTGGCCTGGGGTCCCAACGGCCGGCTGTGGAAAGACAGTGACAAGCCAGGCAGGTGTCCCTGGTAGGACTAGTGCCCCATGGTGGAGGTGCCCTGAGGAAAGCGGAAGGACCAGGCGTCGGGGCTTCGGGAAGGGACTGTTTGCACCTTCACAGAGGGGAACAGGACATGGGCTCGCAGGCTGGGCCATGCCACTCCTCGGGTGGGCGCTGCCACCTGGGCCCAGCAAGCACCGCAAGGCCTACTCGCAGGGTGAGCAAGGCCATGTGCAGACAGCGCTCGGGGACAGGCCACAGTGGGCCAACCTGCCTTCCAGTCCGAAGGTCAGCTCCGTCCTTGCGCATGAGACTCGGTGCCCACCAGACTGAACTCGGAAGCAGAAACGATGCCCCAGGCCCGGGAGTGCTTGGCCACACGCCCCCCGCAGCCGTGGGTGTGCGAGCAGTTTGCTGACCGTGAGTGGCTGCCCAGCGGCTCAGAAGCCCTGCAGCTCGGGGATGTTCTGGTACAGGTCCAGGGTCTCGGGGTTGGAGAAAGCCCCGCGGTGCTCCACGGCCTTGCCCGCCAGGATCTGCTTCACAGCCACCTCCACCTTCTTGCCGTTGAGCGTGTACTACATGGGGGACAGGAGACAGAGCACAGAGGTGAAGCTTGGGCAGGGAGAGTGAGCGGGGCTGCCCGGGACTCAGAAGCCACCCTCACGGGCTTCCTGAGCCTCCCGGGCTGCCCCCACCAGCGTCCAGAGATGCCATGAGGCCCAGACTGACTTTCCTAATGCCCGTCACACGATCGGCACGAAATGTCACACCCCGGCTGGTCCTGGAGTGGGCACACAGGTGCCACTGGGCCCTTTCTCAGAGCACAGGGTGGGAATCCACGGCTCGTCCCCGACTCCCAACAGGCACCTGAGCAGGAAGTTTTTAATGAAGACGTGACCTTGCCACCCCGTCTGGGGGCCTGTGGCAAATCCCTTCGCCTGAGCTGGCTTCCTCCACTGTGAAGTGAGGGTGACTGTGCCTGCCCCAGGGACCATGAGCAGGGGACACAGGAGACACGAGATGCTTCAGAGGGCCTGGCTACGGTATTCCATTATGGCTGACTCTTACTTCATTCCACGCCCTCGTCATCCACTACACTACACTACAAGGCCCGCCCTCGACCTCAGGGGCACTGCCCTCCAGGGCTGGACCTGCCGGCCTCCCCAAGAGCCACCCAGCCAGGGAGGCTGTGGCCTCTTCTCATGACCGGGTTCTTCCCGAGTGGACAGGGCTCCCTCTGGGATCGGCAGCGGGGATCCACCGGGAACCCGCAGGCTGGGCTGCGTGTGCCCGTGGGCAGGACCGCCACAGCCCCAGGCCCCAGGCCCCATGGCGCCCAAGTTCTACACCAGTTTTTACCCAAGGTTCAGTTAATATTCATGCACTGAAAAGACTCAGCTGATGTGTGACCAGTTAAGGATCTAAGTGCCAGCTTTCCAGGGGCTGCCCGTCACTCCAGCATGTGCCATGGGCCCCTCATGGTGCCACCTCCCCGGGGCTGTGCCACACTTCATGTGGGGCTCATGCGCTGGCAACAGCCTCCTCTGGTGGCCAGAAAGAGCCGAGAGCCCTCCTGGCAGCAGGCCAGCACCCAGGTGACCAGGGAGAGGCCCCTGGAATGGGACACTGGTGGCTACCTGGGGCCCTGCAGCAGGACTCCACGCCCAGGCCCCTCGTCAGGACCAGAGTCTCAAGGCCTTTCTTTAGAGTCAGTGGCCAGCCAAAGACTGGGTTCCCCTCCATCAGACAGGGCCTGCCTCGGAGCTTCCTCGTCAGTAAGGGGACCAAGAAGATAAGCTTGTCCCAGCCACCAGTGTCCCTCCCTCCCTGCCTCCCTCCCTGCCTGCCCTGATCGCTCATTCACACACTGGCTCAGTCACTAACTCGCTCACTCACACACACTGGTTCACACACACACACACTCTCAGTCACTYACACACTCACTCACTCAGATTCAGGCTCTCTCTCGCTCACCAGCGCAGGCCGAGCAGGGAGAAGCCCTGGCCCCCAGCCCCCCAGGCCCTGCAGACAGCGGTGGGTGACGGTGACGCGGCAACTCAGAGGGGTCAGGCACGTTGTTGGGATGGGAGGGAGCCAGGGAGGCTGAGTGGGCCCCAGGCCACCTCTCTGCTCTTGGAGCCCAGCCATGAGGTAGAGGGGGCAGGTGGCTGACTGGCCCCAGTGACAGTGAGAGCCAAGCCACCAGGATGACATTCAGGCCCTGAGGCCCCTGCACTGCCAAGCCAGCACTGTCACAGCCCAGCTCAGGGGTGCAGACCAGGCTGGGGGACGCCCATCAGTGGCCCCAAGGCAGGCCTAAGGGAACAGGTAAGCCAGGGCCTAGAGGAGTGCCAGCCAGGACCCGTCCCACGGGGCTCGCAGCTGTCCCTTCTGTCACAAGCCCTCCCCTCACACCACAGCCCAGACATGGGGAGGGTCCAGCTCATCTCTCCCGAGCACTCCCAGGGCCCTCAGTTGTTATGGTGGGAGCAGCACTGCTCCAGGGGACAGAAGGATCACTGTCCAGCAGACATGGCCCTCACCTGGGCAAGGCTGGGGAGCCCGGGGCTCCCCATGCAGGGGCCCTCCCTCCTCCAGCAAGGCCCAGAACTCGACAGCCGGGAACTCAGCTGGCCTCTCCTGAAAGTGGCTCCAGCTCCTGGTGACTGTCCCCCCGCCCAAGGACACTGGGGAGCCCCGCCCTGAGCCCTGGTCAGTCCAGACCATGGCACCTGAGTCAGCCTCACAGTGACCTCGTGCTCCATCAAGCAGAGGCAGCTGGTGTGGGCAGCGAGGGGCCAGGACAGCAGGGGACAGAGGCCGGAGGAGGGAGGATGACGAGCCAGGGCTCGGGCGCAGTTTGGGAAGGACCTGGTGAGAAGACGTGGCTCTTCAACAAGCCCAGGGGACAGAACCGGCTGGCTGAAGGGGCACTGAGACCTCACGGGGGCAGCAGGACCACGACCCCAGGCGTCTGTCTTCCCGCAAGGGGCCGGTGTCTCCACAGACTGTCAGCAAGTCCTCAACCAGGGAGAGGACAGAAGCTCCCAGCAGCGGGTTCTCCACACAGCCACCATGACGAGGCACGAGGACACCAGGAAGGGAGCCGAGCACCGCAGACATGGACGTGGGTCCAGGGGAAGAGGGCAGCCACTGCCCCAGTGGGAAGAGGAGGAGCAGCGCGCGCCCCTCCTGCACAGGTGGCACAAGGACACCAGAGCATCTCTTTAAGGTAGAGACAGTGACTCAGGCTACTGAGGGGTCCCCAAGTCAGCGTGTGGCAGAGGCCCTGATGTCCCCAAAGCTGTTTCCAGGTGAGCCCGCATCCCACCACAGCCCCCAACACTCGCCAAAACACAGCCCACTGCCCCCAAGGCCACCGCCCCCAAGGCCACCACCCCTCTGAACGAGCAGCACTTCTGTAGTTCATCCCGCGGCCACCATCTTGGGGACTCTGTGCGCACAGGTGCCCTGGGGATTGACCCAGAGACAACGCTCAGCAATGCAGGAGGTCGCTGTGACCCTCTGAGGGACCTGTCTCCTCCCCTAATCCGAGCAGGGTAGGTGGGTGCAGCTGAGGACCTGCCTCTGCGCAGGGCGGGCGCCCAGAGCCCCCGCAGAGCTGGGCCCAGGTCCTCACCATAGCCTGGTGGCCTCACCCTGGCACACCCGTGTCACCGGGCGGTTCAAAGCCGTCCTGGAGGGGAGGGGAGGGGAGGATGGCACTGCTGGCCCCGGGACCCCGACACAGGCACCAGCTCCAGTGCTGGCAAGGGACCAGGTTTCCAGGACGAGGCTGGGCACGTACCGGGATGCCCTGGGTCTCCAGGATGAGGCTGGGCACGTGTCGTGCTGACAAGCCCAGGCGGATGGCCTCACGGACCCGCTTCACCAGCTCGGGCCGGAAGGCGTGCCCCGGAGCCATCTTCAGGAAGAGGATCACCCTCTCCTCGCCATCCCTGTTGTACTGGGGGACGCACAAGCTGTCCCCCACCTCCTCGAAGGCTTCCACTGTGGAGACAGAAGGCCCTTCTGTAGGCTGGGGACACCCATCAACTGGGCGGAAGGCGGGGAGGGTGCCCGGCCACCAACCTGGCAGGGAAGCCCACATCCTGTCCTCAGCCCACCTGGGAAAGTGCCCTGGGGATGTTCATAACCAAGTGGGAGGACAGCCACTGCTGGGAGCCAGTGCTCAGCCACGCCTGGACTGGGCAGGGCCTCCAGGAGCCCATGTGGGCCGGGCTTGCCAGTGACAACTACAACTGGGCAGGTCCCTGCGGTGGCTCTATGGGGGAGGCCAGGCGTCTCCACCCTGGTCGTACAGACTGGGAGCTGGCCTGAGCACCAGAGGCAAACCCCACCCAAGAAGGCTGATTTCAGGGCCAGGGTGGGGCTCGAGTCCCTGGGTCAGGCAGCTCAGCGTGCCCCAGAGGACTCCACTGGGCGGTCATGAGACTCGAAGGTCTGCACTGACTGCACCTGGTGTCTGCAAGGTGCTGTGTGGCCTTCAGCACTCACACAGCCTCTCTGTGCTTCTGTTCCCTCACCCTTTAAGCCTAAACACCGTCAGCTGGCGGTGAGGAGGGAACGTGACAGGGAAGGGGCCAAGCGACCTACAGCCCTTCTGAGGTCTAGGTCTCAGTTTGGGCCACAGGAAAGAAGCTGTGCTTAAATGTCCATCCTCACCCTGGTCAAGCCACAAGGAAGCTGACCAGAAATTGATCCACGGGTACTGCCTAGGACCCGGGCCTGGGGGAAGGGAGGGCGGGGCGTACCGATGTTGTAGATCTCCGAGCTGCCGAAGCGCACTCCGTTGGGGTTGAGCGTGCCGTCGCTGGAGAGAGGCAGGGCATGAGAGGAGCCGTGGCCAGCAAGTCCAGCCCCACCCAGGCACCAGCGGGCCAGTCGGCAAGGGCCTCACCTCCCATAGCCAGCCCTCCGTGCTCCACGGCCCCCCTGGACATCGAGGGGCCCCTGACCACAGACTTCAGCCCTCACCACCCTTCTCACCTGCAGTGTCCTCCCTACCGGGGACAAGGCCACACACAGCCCCCCTCCAGTGATAGACACTGGTCAGTCCTTGCCCTGGGCCTCTCACCCCACGAATCCCCCACAACCCAAACCCACCAGGTCGGGAACCAGGGTCAGCCCAGTACAGGGAGGACACAAGATGGGGGACGTCCACCCACGTGACAGCAAGACAAGGGCTGGGACCCTTCCCCAGAGGGGTCTTGGGTCAGAGACAGCACATACCCAGGCTCAGGGTGGGAAGCACAAAGCACCCAGGGCCGGGGAAGGGGTGGGGGAGGGCCCCAGCAGGGCTGTGGAGCACCCCACTCAAGCAGGCAGGGTGCCGGGAGGGGCCACCCCTCCCAGGGAAGAGCCTCCTTCCCGGATCCCCCAGCAGGGTCCTCCCAGGGAGGGAAGCCCACCGGAGCCTCACCTGCGGCCAAGCATGACGATGCCCCCGGTCCTGGGGTTGATTCTGCAGTAGTCACCATGCGCCCAGATACCTGAGAAGAGGCAGAGCCACTGATCACTCAGGGAATGCAATTAAGGTGGCCTGCCCGGGGCAGATGGGATGCCAGATGGGATGCCAGCCAGCGGACACCACGAGGCCCAAACAGGTGCCACATGAGGCTGGGGTTAAGAGGGAACCCAGGGAACCAGAAGCTCCTGCCCCAGGAGCAGTCCCATGGCAGGATGGCCACCCACCCAGCTCTGACACGGGGACCTGGGGAGACAGCACCTGGGGACACCAGCAAGGCCACAGGACAAGGAGAGTGAGCCCACACTCAGCGTGCAGGCAACTCGGGTAGCTGGGCACATGGAGGGCTGAGTGTAGGGGAAGGCTGGCCTTGGGGAGGGCAGTGGGGACCAGGCGAGGGCCAGGGCTAGGCTGGGATGACAGCCGTGTGGCCAGGGGAGCCTCCTGCACCAGCCCGGAGAGGAACTCCAGCAAACCTGTCCCCTGGGCTTCATCCTCCTGCAAAGCCCAGGAGCCACGCCCGGGAAGGGAAGCTTCCCAGAGTGGCCGACGGAGGGCTCCGCCCCCCACTTCCCACTTGACTCAGGGCTGACCTACGGCCCTGAGGACCGTCCTCATGAGCCCGCTGGCTCCTGTGGTGTCAGCACAGCGCCCTCAACAAGCCCCGCAGGGTCTTTGGTGGGGACTCGCCCGATGCCTGTCTGCAGRGAGCCGGGTCCCCACACCCAGGGCCCTGCAAGGAGGGAGCGGCTCACGGGGGCCATCGGCCTCCCAGGCCGAAGATTCGCACCGGGGCGTCAAATATGGGCTTCTAGAAGGTGCGACAGAGAAGAGCAGCACCTCAGCTGCAGCAGACCCAGGGGCAGTCCCACCTGCCCCATCACGTGTGCATGGCACCAGTCTCCCTGAATCCAGGGGACATTCCTGCCTTCTCTGGGCTGCTTGGTGCCTGGGCCTGATGACCAAGGCTCTGGAAATGTGGAGGAAAAGGAAGGTGCAGGTGCGCCCAGGAGACCTTCTTTTATGAAAATGACACCAGGAAGCTCGTTGGCCTCCTGCAAAGCCAAGCTGAGCGGAGAGTCCACGGGAGGCCACCGGCCTTGGTGGCCACGCAGGGAGCAGCTGCTGGCACAGGCCCCAGAGCACATTTCCCTCCACAGTGCCCGGCCAGACCTTCGGGACCCAAGCTGCAACTCCAGCCCTACGTCTCCTGGAGGTCTGTAGGTGACACTGGAGGCCTCCCGGGGTCTGTCCCTGCCGAGGCCTAAGTCCTTCTTAAGTTTACCTCTGACTTATTTTTAAGTGTTTATTATGATTTTTAAATATAAGCTAGGGGCTGGGGCTGGGGCTCGGCGGTAGAGCGCTCGCCTAGTACATGCGAGGTCCTGGATTCGACCCTCAGCACCACATATAGAAATAAATGAATAAGATAAAGGTATTATTGTGCCCAACTACACCTAAAAAATATTTTAAAATAAGCCATAAGGAGAACAAGAACGGCCCATGAACCCACTCCTGTGCCCCTCACTCACTGCCCTGGGTCACTCGCCCTCAGTCACATAGAAATTCTTTTTCAGAATTCACACCAAAGGGACACCTGCCCTCTGTCCTAACCCTCGGATTTCCCCGGCCATCCCCTGGTCGTCCTTCCCCCGCACATGGCCCTCCTGCATCTGCCCTGACAGGACAGGGTGAGGCCTCTGAGCCTGTGCAGGAGGGAGGCTCTCTGTGCAGCTCCCTGTGCTGCAGGAGACCGTCCACTCTGACCATGGCCAGCAGCCCCAGGTCCCATTCTGGTCACTCCACATTTATTTGTATCTCTCACCTGTCCCCAGGTGAGAGATACAAATAAATGTATCTTCTGTGACGTCAGGCATCAAGATGGCATTAATCAAAGGGACCAGAAACCCCACCCAGGGTAAGAGGAGGACCCAGGGCAGGGCTTCCAGCTCTGAGTTTCCAAGATAAAAATGGACGAATGACACAAAGAATTTGTCTTCCCCAAGAAGGAGTATCAGAGTCAAAAGAGAGCTTTCTTCCTGAACTTAGTCCAGAAAGACATTCATCACACAAATCCCCGCATCTGACAAAAATTATAGAACAAAGCTGGTCTCCAAGGAGCAGCCCTGCAGAGGACGAGGGGGCATCCTTTCCTGGACAGATCTCGGATCTCCGAGCGGAGTTTCCAACCCCGTGACCTCCCCGTGACCAGGAGCCGTGGGAAGGGAAGAGCATGTCCCCGCTGTTGAGTCTGCAGCACCAGGCGGGCAGCAGGAGAGGCTGTGCCTCATGGGTGCGCTGCACCCTGCATGGGAGGAGCATCCCCCCCAAGCTGGCGCCCAAGGCCAACACGCAAGGACGCAGCCACTCCTGCTTAGTTGCCGGCCACGTTCTGACTCGCTCACATGGAGTGTGCAGAATCATGTGAGCCGGACGCAGGCAGCATCCAGCGGAGCAACTGTGGCAGGGGCCTGCTGAATTCTGCCTTCTGCAGCGGCCACTCACAGAGAGGGAGGTGGGACCCCCGGGAGAAGAGACTCCCCTGGCCAGGGCAAGAGGCCAGTGACGCCTCCCTGCGCAAAGCCCTCTCCCTCTGCCTCCAAAGGGCTGGGCGGTGGCGCCAGGGCAAGAGGAGGAAGGAGAACCCAGCCCAGGGGTCCCCACCCTCCCAAGGCCACCTGCAGGCAAACCAGGGGCTTGGCCAGCGCTGGCACCGGGCTGGGTGCAGGGGCAGGTGGGGCTCGGCTGCGCCCAGGGGAGCCTCCCTTGACACAGGGGAGACAGAACACATCCAGGAACAGCAGCCTGCGTGGACAGCCGCCCCAGCTTCGGGCTGGGCATGGTGCAGGCATAGACCCACCTGGGAACCTGGAGAAGTAGGCCTTGCGGTACTTGCTCCCGTTCTCGTCGTTCCAGAAGTGCGTGGGCTGGCAGGGCAGGGGTTTGGTGCACACCAGCTCTCCGCTCTCCCCCCAGACGGCCTTCCCTGGCAAAGGTAGCGGGAGGTCAGGCCCCGCTCTGCGGCCCTCCTCCCCCAGCTCCTCCAACCCCGCTCACTCCACGCCTGCGGGGCTCCCAGGAGGCCAACTCGGGTCCACCCCAGCCCCGGCCCTCTCTGCTCCCCTCGAGAGCAGGCTTCACCGTTCCCTGGTCACGCAGCAGCACCATCACGGSGCAGCCCACAGCACACACAGGGCTCACGCACGCTGGGCTGCAGGAACGGACCTTGCTGCCTGGCAGGGCCACGGGGATGCCTCAGCCTGCTCTGCTCTGCCGCCTGCGAGAGAGCCCCAGCGCCCTGGCCCTGGCCCCACGCCCTGGCCCTGCGCTCTGGCCCTGGCCCCACGCTCTGGCCCTGGCCCCACGCCCTGGTCCCCACGCCCTGTCCATACCTGGTCCCCTACGTGTGCTCAGCTCAGCCCTCCCCAGGACAGGCCTGCCTCTGCTCCCAGCCTTGATGCCCTCACGGGTCACGGCTGGGGCACTCCTGCATGTCATGTCACCTGCTGGCGTTTGCAGGTGTTTCTCGGGGGGGGGGGGGCTTCGAGGTCACAGGCACATAGGTGTCTTGTGCCCACCATCACTGGTGGCTTCCAAAGCACGGCCCTGCTCCCGCTGCCCAGATTTCTCCCACCCCTGGGCAGCCAGATTCCGAGCTGGTCATAACGCAGGCTGCAGAGGAGCACCCTGGGGCACAGGCAGCCAGCTGACCAGCCGTCCACCCTGCACCTTCCGCTGTCTGCACTCCCCCTCTGCAGGAGGCCCCTGGCTCTTCCACCTTCCCAGCTCACACCACCCCACAATGTCCCCCAGACAGAAGCCGACAGGCATTCTCTGTGGGTGTGGAAGGTCCCTGCCAGGGCACCTCCCTCCTGACCAGGCCCAAGAGAAACTTCAGACAGAAAGGGACAACCTGTATGAGAAGTCACTCTGGGACCAGGTGGGAAGGGATTTTCTCCAGAAAGACGAAGGGTGGTAGGGTCCTGGTGTGGCCACTGCCCCTGCCAATCTTTCCCTGAGCCTCACAGAAACAGGGCTGGTGTAGCCTTCCCATCCACTCAGATAAGGAAAGACAACGCAGCAGTGGCCCAGAGAATTTAAGTCCATGAACTTATTCAGAGTACACGCCAGGCCCTGGTTGGTGCTGGGGACACTAACAGGCTCTGCTGTTTATAAGCAGTCGTCACTAGACCACAAAGCAAAGGCCAGTTCCACACAAGACCTGCAGGAAGAGACCAGCAGAGGCCACCTGGTCCCCTCTGGGCCCTCACTAAGGCCAGGACATCAGCTGTCCCAGAGCTGACCCCACACAGCTCACATTTGTGCTCGACCCCACACCTGCTTCTCCAGGGTTGGGACAAGGAACCACAGGGGTGCAAAGCCAGGCCAGGGACGGAGGACACTGCTCTGTGTGGACAGCGGCCATTTGAGGGAACTACCCCCAAGTGAAGGGCATGTCCCTCCCCACACCTGTCCTTCCCACACATGTCTCCCCACACCTGTCCCCTCCCCACACCTGTCCCCACACACCTGTCCCTCCCCACACCTGTCCCCCTACACCTGTCCCCTCCCCACACCTGTCCCTTCTCACACCTGTCCCCCCCACACCTTCCCCCCCACACCTGTCCCTCCTCACACCTGTCCCCCCCACACCTTCCCCCTACACACCTGTCCCTCCCACACCTGTCCCCCCACACCTGTCCCCCCCACACCTGTCCCTCCCCACACCTGTCCCCCCCACACCTAGAGCAGCCGGTGCGCCTCACCTTCCTCATTCCACGCCTCCACGGCCATGGCCAGGTTCCGGGCCTGCACCTCACCCTTGTGCACAGGGATGGACACGTTCTGGCCCATGAAGCAGGAGATGATGTCAGTGCCACCTGCAGGTGAGGACAGGGGGACTGAGACCAGACGCACAAAGACCCCATTTCTCTGTGTCCCTGAGAACGAAGGACAGCTTCCTGCAGAGGACACTGAATAGATGCCCTCCATGTCACCCTGGAGTTCAAAACTTGGTGTCAGAAGACGGAAGTCTCTCCATCATCCCCTGTGCCGCAGCCACCTGGGCAGAGTGGCCGTGCGTGGCTGTCACTGGGGCCAGAGACCTCCTGGCTGCCAGGATGCCAGGGCACTGCCTCAGGCCAGAGAGCATGGCTTCCAGGAGGAGCTCGGGACAGAGACCAGGGGACGCGGGGCCGGGAGCAGCACAAGGCCCAAGCCCAGAAGGGTCCCCTCACTGCAGCCCCAGTGCCACAGCAGGCTGTGCCCGGGCACACAAGCAACACATGCAGGCTCACACGCACACCACAGAGTGCTCAGTCAGGCCAGGATGGCCAGGACCCCCAGGATGTCACTCAGTGAGACAGAGGAGAGCGGGAGGAGCCAGGAGGTGGCGAGGTGCCTGCTGCACCCGAGCTGTGTTGAGTCTGTGCCATACTTAACCCTGCGGAGCCTGCGTCATGCCTGCTGCACACCTGGGAAAGTGTGCGTAATTAGGACAGTTTTTCCGTGATCGACTCTGTGTCTGTGGGCGGAGGGGGAGATGGCCGCCACATAAAATGACTCGGTATCTCCAAGACTCCGAGGGTCTGCCTCGGCCTCCCTCTGTGGGTCTGTGTTCCTCCCGGGCAGAGAACCAGACTGACGCCTGCTCCGGGTCTCTGGCACCTCCGTCACTCTCTGGCACATCCCACAAAATGCAGGGGTCCTGGTCGCATCTGCCACCACCAAGGTCCCACCAGGTTCCAGGCTTCATAGGGACATGAGCACCTTCACCAGACGCAAGGTCTGCCTGTGCCCCCTCAGAGGACGGACAAGCAGGATAGCGGGGAGAAAAGAGGTGGGGTTCTGACGACATGGCCACTGGGGAGACCATCAGAGACGAAGCCACGAGGGGACTGCCCTGCACCTGAGCATCTGTATCAGCGGGGCCAGGGGAGCCAGGCTCCGTCCGGGAAGCGGGGGCCACCTGGGGCACACATCCAGGAGAACTCGGCAACGAGCCACCAGGGGGAACCCAAAACTTCATGGGGAGCGTAGAGGAAACAGGCACAGAGGGTCTGGGCAAGGCCAGGGCCTGTACTAGGCCCTCACTGAAGGCCAGAGCCCTGACCCCTGGGTCCCCTTGAGGGGCAGAATCAGGGCAGTGCAGCCTGCAAGGACCCCTGGAGACCACAGCACGATCCCCATGGAGGCCCGGGGCTCCTGACACCCTTCCACCTACTCAAAGTAAAATGGCACCTTTTAAATATGGGTCCTAAGGACGTATTTTTTAAAACCACAAGGAAAAAAATCAGAATTGCAAATGTGTAAAAGAATATGAGCTAGGAGCCCTGGCACATGCCCCCCCACGCAGGGAAGGACCCATTTCCAGAAGGGGGAACGCTATGGGGACTCCACACCCAGCTGCCCTGGGGACTCTGAATTTTGTAGTGGACACAAAGTATTCTCCAAAGAGCAGCTTTGTGTTAAAAAGAAGGTTGCAATCCACACACAGGGTGCCCCCGCACACACACACACAGGGCACCCCCATGCACACATAAGGAACAGCCTCACCCAGGGGTCCCTCTTAATCTATTTTGACCAATAATCAGTCCTTTTCCACTCAACATGTCGTGACCCCTCTCAACAACAATCAGCGGGATCCTATCCAAATAACCACCTCCATACTGTCACTTCTAGGGGCTACATAAATTGAGGTCATAAATCGTTCAGGTAAATCCTTTCCAGAGGCGTATAAAGGCAACCTATGTTTCTTATCAGTGTCAACAATGTCACAATAACCGTCCTTAAGTACAATTGATCTTCATTTTCAGATCCTGTATGTGCAAAGCACCTACTTGCTAAAATCTATCTTTAACCCCAAAGTCAGACTCTTGACCTTTGGGTCACTCCCAGACATGTGCAGAGCAACCGGAAATGTAAGTGGCCCCACGCATGCTGGGCAGGTGCTCGAGGCGGCTTGGCCTTCCTGCCTCAACCTTCCTCAGATGGAAGCTAGGGCGAGGCTCCCAGCTCAGAGACCTGCTCCTGGGGAGCCAGGGAAGTCCCTCCACCTGCTACACCTCACCCTCATCATACACACAGACAACCAGGCTGAGCTATTCGGGGGCTCCGATCACAACTGATGTGAGACGTGCGTGCACTCCACCAGGAACAGGGGTTCAGCACCTCAATAAGGAGTGCGTGAGGCCCAGCCCTCCTGCCAAGTGGGATCAGTCCAAAGACGTGGGCTGGTGCAGTCAGCAGGTGACCCAGCAGGCCAGCCTGGTTGTCAGGGGCAGAGTCACTGTCCCTGCCACCCCATTCCCTGGCTGCATGCCACATCTCCACCCACCACTGAGCCTGGGGTGGAGCCGTACCTGAGATGGAGCCCAGCAGGACACTGCTCTTGATGCACCTGTAGACATACTCGTAGCTCTGGGCCTTCAGCGGGGAGCCCGTGGACAGAATCGTGTGCAGCGTCTGCAGACTGTGGGTTTCCACTGGAGGACAGCCACCAAGAGATTAGAGCCAAGCCCAGCACTGGGAGCCCACAGGCGCACACATAGTGGCAGGTCCCCTCTCCTGGACAGCTGTGGGGGCAGTCCAGGGCGAGGCACACTCACCCGGCTTCAGGTCCTTCTCCTCCAGCACAGACAGCCACTTGGCACCCGTCCCAAGGATGGTGATGCTAGGGGCACGGGAGGGAAAGGAGACATCAGGGGCTCTCCAGGGTCCTGTGCATCCCACACATGTCCCCACACCAACGCTCTCTGCGCTGGTGACTCATTCCTACAAGTCCACAAGACCAACAGGCGAGGGCCTCCTCTGGATTGCCAACGTCCCACCCTCACCTGGGAGAGTCCCCGCACTGGGCTCCCTCCAGGCTTGAGGGACGCATCTCCACCTTGACCTCATGGTGCGGGGACTGGCTCCCTCTGTGCACAGCTCAGCGTGGTGGGTCTGGCTCAGCCGCAGGAAGGTGCAGGGCTTAGTCGAGCCCTTTAGCCTGACTCTGCCCTCACTCTGAGGAAGCAGACAGAGCCGCAGATAGCCTTGCTTGGTAAAGCAGGAGCCAAAAGCCCCCAGCCCGGCCTCGCCTGCAGTGAGCTGTGTTGGTGTACATCTGAGACCATGCTGCTCTCCTCCATGCCCTGAGCCCCACGGCATCCAGCACTCTGTTGAAGACTTGCCACTGGGGGCTCAGGTCATACTCCACCCCACCTGGAGCGTGGACACTTCGGCTCCTGGAGCTCGGCAGCCTCCTGTTTTTACTGCCAGAGATACTGTCATTAGGCAAGTGATAAGAACGTGTCACCACTCATTCCTCAGCCCAGACCGGTGGCGCTGAGCCTTGAGACCGTTTCTAATGCTGGGTGGGGGCTGCTCAGGTCCTCCCCACGCTCTTGACCCCGGGGGCCCTGGTGACTCCGATACTTCCTCCTGCAGTGCCTTGCATGTTGGGGGTCCTGTGTCCCATCAAGGGAAGAGAAGTTAACAGGGCCACAGAGAGGGCCACACCATCCAGACACCATAAACACCTTTGTACCAAAGTTATAATGTTCAGGGAAGATGCCAAGAGAACATGGCCACAGCCCTCAGGGACACCCTGGGTTTGCTCCCTGGCACTGCACCAAAACAGATGGCCAAAAAGGTCCCATGTGGGTCAGGCACCGTGGCGCCCACCTGTAATCCCAGCAGCTCCGGAGGCTGAGGCAGGAGGATTGCGAGCTCAAAGCCAGCCTCAGCAACTCTATGAGGCCCTGAGCAACTCAGGAGACCCTGTCCTGAATAACAATCAAAAACGGCTGGGGCGGACTGCGTGGCTGGGCACCTTGGGTTCAGTCCCAGGTACCAAAATCAAAACCCACAGCTTCTCCAGGAGCCGCCGAGCTCACTCCTGGCCCTGAGAGGTGCCTCTCACCCTGCCGGGGAGTGTGGACCCAGCAGTGGACCAGCCCAGCATGCCCTCTTGCTGCTCCTGGACCTCCCAGCACTGGGCATGGATGTCCAGGGTAGCAGTGCACTCCAGAGATAGCAGCCTGCAAGGGGACATGTGGCTGCAGCTGCGTATATTCCAAAGCACCTTCCGAGGACAACAGCGCTGTCCCACGGCTGAGCAGGACATCAGGTACCTACCCTATCCTGTCCACAAGGTCCCACAGCACGTTGGGCGTCGGGACCATGGGGGAGCCATCGTACAAGACCACAGATGCCCCAGTGGCCAGAGCGGACACCATCCAGTTCCACATCATCCAGCCGATCTGCAACACAAGCATCAGCTTCAGACAGGCGCCGCCAGCTCCCCACCAGCCCGAAAGCACTGCCCGGCCCAGAGCCCAGGATGGGCTGCAGTTGCCCGCCTCAGACGCACCAGCCTCAGCCACAGGCTGAGCGCAGAGGCAGCTGCACGTAAGTGGAGACGTGGCAGAGGAGATCTGTGAGCCCTCACTGGGGTGAGACTGAACGAGCCCAGCACCCGCCAACACAGGACAGCCACAGGACACATGCACTCCACTGCTCTCAGTCAAACCCCAGGACGCTCAGCGCCCACCTCGCAAGCACTCAGAGTCAGCCCCATGTGGCCACGGAGAAGAGGCCCAATGGGTGGGGGACACGCGGCAAGACACTGTGAGGTGGAAAACAAGCACGGCACAGTGGCACAGCCTTGAGCAGACAGGGCGGACACGCACATGCACCCACACAGACACAGACACAGACACGTATACATGTGTACACGCATACAACTGCAATATAATGTGTGCATGCACACATGTACACATGCCCACAGATACACACATGTGCAACTGTGTGGACATGTGCATGCACATGAGAACATATACACACGTATGCGTGTGCACATGGACATGCATATGCATGCACACATGAGCACACATGCACACATGAGCACACATGCACACGCACATGCTCATATGCACACACAAGCACACATGACCACACATGCACACACACATGCACACACATGAGGACACATGCACACATGCACGAACACATGCACAGGCCTGCCCGGGGAAGCAGTACCAGGATGGCAGGCACAGTCCCCAGGCCCTGGAGAACAGCCCCCTCCACTGTGTCCTTCTGATGTGGCTTAAAATCCTCACCATATGTGAGGGGATTGGATTTTTTTTTAATTTCAATTCTTTTTTTAATTTAAAAAAGAATTTTAAACTCCAAAAATGTGCCCACAGGCCCGCCCACCAGGCTCCCACCCACAGAGCCTCGGGGCCATCTGGAGCACAGACAGGACGACAGAGCAGGGACGCTCAGCAGGGGCCTGGGCCTGGAGGGCAGGAGAGTGCAGCTGCTCGCCCACGTGGGCGAGGACAAGGGGTCGTGCCCCACCTGGGAGGACTCAGCACAAGTCGTGGGGGCCCTGGCGTCCCCCAGCACCTGGGGTCACTCTGTGGTGGGGACGGGAGGCAGGAGGAAGCTCCTGAGTGGCTCCCCATGTGGGTGGTGTGAGGCCCGGGTCGGACGGGCAGGTACCACAGGACCCAGCAAGCCGTGGCCAGGCCTGAGACTGGGACCCTCCTGCTGGCCACCTCAGCCACTCTGGCCTCCACCTGAGGACGGCCCTCTGCGACGTGAGTGGCCTTCACTGGCAGAGCCGCCACTTAGCCAGTCTGCTTAGACAGGTGTCCACCCACTGGCTGAGGCTCTCCCAGGGAGGACTCGGCCCTGATGAGGAGGCAGAGGCTGGAGGCCCAGCAGCCCAGCCCTTCGGGTACAGCACTGTCCAGCAAGGCCATTAAAGTGAGGTCCATGAGTGACAGAGAACGGGCCTGGCCAGGGCTGGGGATGCTTATAACCACACCTGAGGCTGCTGTTGAATCCAACTTGGCAGAATGGGGTGGCCAGCCTGGGGCAGGATGTTTCCAGAAAGCACGACACCCTGGAGGTGGCCCCAACAGGGCTCTTCCCGTGCTGCTCTCCTCAGCCCAGAACCCGCCTCCGTGGGAGGCAGCAGGGACTCATTCCTAGAGCTGCAAGGGACCCGCCTGAGGGTGCCAGACCAGGACACGGCAGAACATGGGCCTGGAGCCCGGGGTGCCAAGGCCTACGCGCCATGTGCTGGGCACAGGGAGGAAACAATCTTGCTGCTAAAAGATCCCTGAGTCTTTTGGCCCAAGCCCCTCATTCACAGCCGGGCACAGAAACCCAGGTACCCTGCCTATGGTGATCCCCGGGCGTGTCCTGGTCCTGTTCCTGTGTCTGCAAGGGGTCCAGATGGCCTGTCACAGAGGGAACAGCCTGGGCAGGGCAGGCACCTACCTCCAGTACCCGCTTCCTAAAAACGCAGCACAGTTGTGCCATCCAGGAAACACCGCTGGATTATTCCGGAACCTCTTGATACTGGCATTCTTGGAAAAGGCCAACCCCAAGTTCTCCTTCGGGATTGGACACATTTGTGCCCAGCGAGGACAGCAAGCCCTCCACACCTGCACGCAGGGCCACCGCACACCCATGTGCACGCCTGGTGGCAGGGCCATGTCTGCCTGCCATCCCACAGCACAGCCCAGCACCCAGGGGGACCTCAGGCGGACGTGAGGGGCTCACCGTGGTGTAGTAGAGCAGGACGTCACTGCAGCGCATGTCCCCATGCAGAATGTGCTCCTTCAGGTGCTGGATGAGCGTGCCCTGCGGAGGGAGGATGCCCAGGTGAGCGGCAGCCCCACACCTAGGAAGGAGCTGGAGCGTCTCCACCTGGCTTTGATGAGCCACCTCCAGGGTCACTCTGCCACCTGCCACCTGAGCAGTGCTCATGCCTGACGGGAAACCCTGATGCACCCCAGCTGCCCGCGAGCTCTTGGTGCCAGCTCCATCAGAGGCACCGTGGGGACCTGGAACATCAGGACAGGAGCGAACCTCACTGAGAGGGACAAAGTGACAGTACAGACAGTACACGCCTGTTCATGGTACCAGCCGCCATGCCCTCCACAGACTGCCTCGGGGAGAAAGGAAGCTTCCTATCACTGAGCATGAGCCACACAGCAGAGAGGGCCTGTCCCGGAGGAGAACCTGAGGACAGGTGGGGACCCTGCCCTCAATGCCCCTGCAGGGGGAGCTCGTACAAAGGTGGGTCACCATCCTTCAGAGCATGCAGGAGCGCTGGACCCACATGTTAGGAACCAGCCTTTGCCACCAGCCAAAGCCCAGAGTGGTCAAGAGGCCAAGGGTCAAGCCTCGCCCAGCAGGGCTCTGATTCCAGGGCCCCGGCCTGGACGCCTGCAGAGCCCACCGCTTCCCTCCCTCTTCCGCTCAGTGTGGGACGGCGGCTGTGAGACCCCGTCACCCACCTTCCTGCGCTTGTCCCTCACCTCAGCACCTCAGAAGGCAGAAGCAAGCGGCTTTCCTCTCAGAATTTCTCTGTGAGTCGTGGAGAGTACGCTGGGGGTTAGGGCTATCTGAAGCCTCCCCTAAGGACAGGAAGTGTAGGCAGAGGAGTTTGGTGGTCTCGAGCAATTGGGGACAGTGCTGGGACACTGGCCTCAAGCGCTCCACCACTGAGCCACATCCCACCCTGAGCAACTGCCTGTACTTTTTTTTGGGGGGGGGGGTACCAGGATTGAACTCTGAGGCACTCGACCTCTGAGCTACATCCCCAGCCCTATTTTGTATTTTATTTAGAGACAGGGTCTCACTGAGTTGCTTAGGACCTGGGAGGAGCGGCCCTAGGGAGGAGGGTCTTGGGAATGAGCAGCCCTGGAAAGGAGCGGCCCTAGGGGAGGAGTGGCCCTGGGGAGGACAGGCCCTGAGGAGGATGATCCTGGGGAGGAGTAGCCCTGGGGAGGAGGGTCCTAGGGAGGAGCAGCCCTGGGGAGGAGGATCTTGGGGAGGAGCAGCCCTGAGGAAGGAGCAGTTCTGGGGGAGAACAGGCCCTGGGGAGGAGCTGCCCTGGGTAGGAATGGCCCTGGGGAGGAGGGTCCTGGGGAGGAGTGACCCTGGGGAGGAGCAGCCCTGGGGAGGAATGGCGCTGGGGAGGACAGACCCTGGGGATGACAGGCTCTGGTGGAGGAGCTGCCCTGGGGAGGAGCGGCCCTGGGGAGGAGCTGCCCTGGGGAGGAGTGGCCCTGGGGAGGAGGGTCCTGGGGAGAAGTGGCCCTGGGGGGGACAGGCCCTGGTGGAGGAGCAGCCCTGAGGAGGACAGACCCTAGGGATGACAGGCCCTGGTGGAGGAGCGGCCCTGGGGAGGAGCGGCCCTGGGGAGGCCCCAGTCAGGAGGAAGCATCTCGCAGCCCAGGAGCCAGCAGGACTGTGTGGAGGGATTGTTAGGAAAGCACCAGACTCATCCTGGAGTCACCTCTGAAGTGACCAATTAAATGACAACGAGAGGACAGAATGGCACTGCGTATCCCCCAGAGAAGATGCTTAGAAAGGGACACAGTGTCGGGGCCCTAGAGCCCCGCCCAGAGCCACATCCCCTGGATCTGACACAAGGAAACGTCACACAGGCCCAGAGATCCAAGCCACACCAGGTCCTGGATTTCAAACGTCAAGGTCAGGAAAGACCAGGGACGGCAAGGAGCTGCTCCAGATGAAGGGCCCTGGGGAGACTGGACAGCGCGACCCAGTGCTGTGGGGGCTGCAAGCTGGAGGGCAGCCAGCGGCCACTCTGGTGTTCAGGAGCTGACCCTGGACCACAGCACTGAGAGCACCCGCTCCTAGGAGACGAGATGGAGGTCAAGGAAGAGTTCCTCGCGGCTCCAGCCTACCTCGAATGGATCAGCAAAAAACGAGACAGAAACGCATAGGTACCCAGAGAGAAATGAAGCAAGGGAGGCTATAAGAAATGCCACAGCCAGACACAATGACACCCGCCTGCAATCCCAGCAGCTGGGGAGGCTGAAGCAGGAGGATCATGAGTTCAAAGCAGCCTCAGCAAAAGTGAGGCCCTGAGCAGCTCAGTGAGACCTTGTCTCTAGTAAAATATAAAAAAGGGCTGGGGACGTGGCTCAGTAGTACCAAAAAACAAACAGAAAATGTCACAACTGGATGCTGGAAATGTTAGGAGCCCAGGACCGAGGCCTGGGCCTGGCAAAGGGCAAGGAACTCCTCACTCTACAGCTTTTCTAGAGGTTTTCTACAGGTCCTGTGGGCATTTTTTTAATATTTAATTTTTAGTTATAGGTGGACACAATATCTTTATTTTACCTCTATGTGGTGCTGAGGATGGAACCCAGCACCCCACACACGCTAAACCAGCGCTCTACCTCTGAGCCACAACCCCAGCCCAAGGCATTTTACTTTTAAAATAAGAAAGGACAGCCGGCATGGTGGCCCACACCTCTAATCCCAGTGGCTCAGGAGGCTGAGGCAGGAGGATCACGAGTTCAAAGCCATCCTCAGCAACTTAGCAAGGTACTAAGCAACTCAGTGAGACCCTGTCTCTAAATCAAACACAGAATAGGGCTGGGGACGCGGCTCGTGGTTAAGTGCCCAAGTTTAATGCTCAGCACCAAAAAGAAGAAAGGCTAGGGGCAGCCGATCTATGCCCAGACCATCAGCAGCCATGTATCTCGAGGGTCCTTGAAGGACGCTGGACTTCTGGGAAACTCGATGCGAGAGGCTTGCCTCAGGCTGACCCGCTCCCTCCTCCCCCCACCTCAGATGTGGAAGCCCCAGCCCACCCTCCGCAGAGGTGTTCACAGAGGCGATAAGGCCAGGAGAAGGCCCTTAGGTGGTCCTGACTCAGTCCAAGGAGACCCACGGGCCTGGTGCCTGTGGAAACCCGTCCCCAGAGTCACACGTTAACAGCATTTGGAGGTGGAACCCTTGGGAAGTGACAGGTGGGAAAGGTCACACGGGTGGGGCCCCATGTTGGCAGCAGGGGTGTAGAAGAAGGACGCTGAGCGAGCTGCTCCGTCTTAGGTGCGGTGCCCTGTGCCACACAGAGACCTGTGGAAGTCCCCAGCTGGGCCGACTGGGCCCCTCCACCTGGCTCTCTGAGCTGAGCAAACATGGATTCTCCCTAAATACGCCATCTGTAGTGTCTGGCTTAGCAACAGAAACAGACCAAGGCAGGGTGTCGCGTGCCAGGCTGGGGTGGTACAGGGAGCAGCGGCCCCCACAAGCCAGGGACAGGGGCTGGGGAGGCCAGCCCACAACCCAGGTCTCAGAACCCAGCCTCCACAGTGGGAAAGCGGGCTCCCTCGTTAGCCTCCATCGGGGGCAGCAGGGGGCCTCCCTAGGTTAACCCCAGCTTGGGACGTCACCTCGTGGCCTTCAGGTGTCTGCCCAGGGCTCACAGTCAGAGAGGGTTCCACCACATCCCCCAGCAGTGCCCCAACCCACACCACGCAAGGACAGTCCCGTGGACACCACCGTACCTCCCGACCTGATGTGTGGCATTTCTGCTTTCAACTGGTCTGGGTCCTAGACCATTGCAGGACCCCACCCCAGACCTTAGTCCCCTCAGGGCCACAGCCTACAGTTGGAAGTCACCGTCTCACAGTGACCTCCACACCTGTCCTCATCGTGGCAAGTGCCACAATGTCCCCTGACACTGCAGGCCTCTCACCTGGCCCAGTTCCAGACTCCCCAGGGAGCAGCACTCGGGGTCCCCGGGAGGGCGATGAGGACTCCATGCCCACCGCGCTGCCACTGGGAGCCCGTGGTGTGAGCCCTGCCGGGACACCTACCCCTGCCGAGTGCACCATGCACTTGGGTGCCCCGGTCGTGCCCGAGGAGAACATGATGAACAGCGGGTGGCTGAAGGGCAGCTGCTCGAACTCCAGCTGGGGGGCGTGCTCGCCAGGCCCGCTCGCCAGGAAGTCCTCCAGGAACACGCTGCGGGCAGGAGAGCGAAACAGTGACCGTTCCAGATGCCAGACCTGACCCGCCCACCCTGCCACACACAGCACTAGCCTCCAGCACAAGGAAGGTGTGCATCCCTGGGGACACCGGCCTGGCGTGGACACTTTAAGGGACAGGGAGGTCCCATCTCAGGAACTCAAGCCGACTACAGGGACAGACTGCAGGGTGAAGATCTCGAGTGGGCTCCTTAGCACTGCTGCCAGGCCAAGGGCTGGCTCCGTGGAGACTCCCAGGCCCTCACAAGCACTGCGGAGAGGACCACCCGCAACTAACACCCCGTTGGTGCAAATGCTGCGGCTTGGAATCGGCGTCGCGGCCCGTTCCCATTGTTGGCTCTTAGTCCCTTTGACCAGCCACACTCTGCTTCCACTGACCACCCTAGGGGAGCACAGGCCACCTGCCTCTGAACTGAGGCCCCACGGGGAGGAGGAACTGGAATAGGGGCCAACCACAGTGCCAGTGACAACAACGTGGCCAGGCTCGGTCACTGTGTCCTGAGGCCCACGGCGTGAGATACAAACACATGTCCAAGAATAAACGGGATTCACCCAAGCTCCTGACCAGCAGAGGAAGCCTGCCCAGCCTCACCCCACGCTGACAGAGAGCACTGATGTGGGTGGCCAAGAGCCACCAAAGGCACGACCCAGACCTGTCTGCTGGGATAGAAAGAGCGGCAGGATTCCCAAAGCCACCGCGAGAGGGGGTTTCTATTTTGAGACCAGCAGAGACATGGGTCCTGTGAACTTGGCCCTCTACATTTTTGCCAAGTGGAACTTTCTCCCTTCCAAGGAAGGGGGTGGGAGTCGGTCACTCTCAGCCAGCAACAGTCACCAGGGAGAATGACGAGGACGGGGAACACCCTCCCTGTGAGCGGAATGATGTCCTTAGGGAGAAGGCTCCGGGGACAAGGTGTTTCAGGAAGGGCATCCAAGACGCTTCGCTGGGAGCCCTCGGCACACACAGCCGCGAGCGCCAGGCTCGGGGAAGGAGGCCATCCCCGGCGCCTCCCTGTGCAGCCCATTTATATAAAACACCCCAAATATAAACTGCTCACACTGCGTCACACAGAGAAGAGACTTTCCTTTAAAAAGGTCCATAAATCACAGTAAATAGCCGTTACTTTTGTTGCTCTTCTGAAGATGCAAAGCCCAGAGGTTGCCCTATCCCCGCTCCCTGTGAGGGGCAGCACGTGTCCTGGATTCTCTGTGGACCTGGCGACCAGGACATGGGCGGTGCGGAGCCAACTACTGGGGCCTCAGGAGGGCACAAGCTGAACGGCAGCAGGTGCTCCCACTGTCCCCCGTCACGGGGCAGGTGCTCCCACTGTACCCCGCCACAGGGAAATACACTCAGGGGAAGAGAAACCGGCCACCGCAGGGCTGGCGGCCCAGCTGGTTTTCCTCCTCCTCGCCACCGTGTCCAGCTCCGTCAGGCAAACAGGGGCCAGGCCTGAGGCCACAGGAAAGAAGACCAGGGCTCCACCTGAGGTCAGCAGAGAGCCCTCAGGCCCACCTGTGAAGGTCACGCTCCAGTGACAGAGCCCGTGCAGCCGGGCGATAACAGACACAGCTACTGAGCGCTGACTACTCACTTGGCTCAGCACTCACTTCTCTGACCCTCACACCAGCCCCCGAGGAAGGTGGGGTCCCCATTTTACAGATGGAGAAACCAGGGCACAGAGAGGTTGATCACTGGCATAGGGTCACCCAGCTGAGACCCAAATCCAAGAAGGTTGGCACTAGAGGCCACAGCCTCCCAAAGCCACCACTCTGCTTGCAGCACTAGGAGGCCGCACTTCAAGGCCAGTTGGAGGCCACCTCTGGACCCAATAGAACAGCCACACCCCACTCTCAACTCCCAGGCCCTTCCACTGCCACCCACGTGATGGGCACGCTGTAAGGACACGTGCCTTACACCCCTCAGCGCCCAGGAGCCCCCACACAAAACCAGCGAGCCAGACGTCACCTACTGTCTGTCTAAATAGGGCCTCTGCCACCCCAGCACTCCTCGGTGGCAGACCCAGGGATTCCTGCCATCTCTGAACAACCCCTTCCCACAGCTCGAGGGGCCCCTTGTGGATCCTGCAGCCACCGGGCTAGAAGTTAATAGGAAGGATGCCTGAGGGTCACCCTGACCCCCAGCCTCGCCCACAGCTGTCTCCAGAGATCCAGGGAGAACCCCGAGGACCGGGCAGTCCCAGCCGACCCAGGCTGCGCCTCCTTCACCTCTGTTCCTCACCAAGGTGCCCACAGTTCCACCTGGCACTCAAGACGTGCGGCTTACCAGCTTGTAAGTGTCAAAAAAGCCAAGGAGGGCATCACCAGCCTCGGGCACCTGGCTGACACACGTACACAAACACACAGAGGCCAGTGCGCCCACACGCTCATGTATGTGTGCACGTCAGTCCCAAGGCAGAGCTATGTGGCCCGCCCAGGGACCTGGACGCCTCCGCCCAAGCCTGCCACAGCAAACAGACACAGGCAGGCCTGTGAGGGAGGACTCCTGGGACCCTCTGTTCTGCCCCCCATTTGCCATGTGGCCTTGGGGGATTTGCTCTGGGGACTTAAGGGCCCATCTACGAAGCAAGCACCTTCACCAAAACCTCTATCTCTGAACCGCCAGGGAGAGCAGAAGCCCAGGGCACCGCCCAGGGCACTGGGGCCATGCAGGCCTCTGAAGTGGGCACCTGGGGTGGGCGCGGGCTCCTTACCTATTGGGAATCCGGGAAATGTCGATCTGCTCCCGAGGCGAGATGTATGGGATCACCACCACCTTTCTCAGGTCAGGCAACCCTGGAGGGAGAGGCGAGAACACATCACACCAGGAGCCACCCAGGGAGGCGGGGTGCACGGCAGGACTCCTGAGGGCCTCAGCTCTGTGCACACAGAGTCCAGGAGGCTCCAATCTGCTCAAACTGCTCTGGGGGGGGGCGGGAGGGGACCGGGAGGGGACGCACCTTTAACCACCCGCTGCAGCTTCTCCAGGTGGCTGTGCTCCTTGCCGTTGTAGATCACGGCCTCCACCGAGAAGATGAGCTTCGGCTGAATTTGAGAAAACCGGTCCAGGACGCCCTGTGAGTGGGAGGACAGTCCCCACTGAGCATCCAGAAGGCAAGGGCCAGCAGGCGCTGCATTCAGGAGAGAAGGGCCACTCCTCAGGCTGAGTGGCCTTGGACAGGAGTCCTGCCCCTATTCCCTCCAGCACCCGGGGCTCCTGTAGAACCCTGGCTGTGCCAGGACCCTGGGGTGGGGGTCCCCCTCAGCTGGGAGGCAAACCACTGCAGCAAAACTCCTGGCATTGCTGAGAGCTCGCGCCTGTGGGCAGCAAGCTCCACAGAGAGGACCCCTCTCTGACCTGCAGAGCCCAGGAGAAGGACGTCACAGGCTCCGCCCCCAAGCGGGAAGGATGCGCAGCGCACAACCGCCCAAGGAGCCGGGGTGCCGGGTCACCCCGGTCACCCGGGTGCTGCCCACCTGGTGAATCACAGTCGCAGCAGCAGCGGCGGTGCCCATGTCACCCACGCCACCCAGCTGGCTACAGAGGTGCCTCTGCCATGAGGCGGGTGGCGGGTGGCCCAGGCGAGGGAAGGGCCAGGCCTGCGAGAAGCCTGAGGCCTGGGAGGCTCAGAGGAACCGGGCTGGGAGAGCCTGGAAGCCCAGTGTCTGGGAACTATCCTGGTCAGGCCACAGGGAGGGCCCAGGTGGGCCAGTGGCCTGGGGCTCAAATGCCAAAGAGAAAACTGTCAGTCACAATGACAGTTTTAGTGACTAGAAACTAGTAAGTGCTTCAGAACCAGAGTCTGACACCATAGCTCGAAGGCCCCAGGCACGGGGGGGGCACCCGTCTGGATCTCTGGTGTCCACAGGGGCTGCTGGGACCCTGCGTGTTGCCAGGAAACCCACACCTGTGATGATGGTGGTTCTGACCCGACTGTGGTGCTCAGCGGCCCACCAAGCACCAGCACGGAATCCCATGGAGCAGCCACCACACAGGAGGGTGGCTGTCCCATCCACGCTCGCAACACACACAGCCCCGGATGCTCAGGAGGGCGGGCCCCTGGCACACGTGTGGACATTAGACAACACACCAGCTCAAGGTGACAGAAAAGCCCAGAGGAGTGGAGACCACAGGAGCCGCGGTCTGGATGAGGCTGGGGGAGGGGCACCCAGGAGCACAGCACCCGCAGGGCCACACCGTCCAGCCCAGGGGCACGGCTACACAGGCCAGGGCACCCGGCAGCCACAAGTAGGGCAGGGAGGGAACCAGGGCTATGGTGAGAAGGTGGACAGGGTCAGGACAGAGTGACACAAGGGGCATCGCTGTGGAAAGAGAGGTGTCCTGGCCCACACCTGTGCCACAGCCTTGGAGGGCCCCTTTGTCACCCAGCCCAGCCAGGTGAGGGGCAGTGGCTACCCTCCTTGGGCCCTTCCCTCCCCCACCAGCAGAGGCTCCTGCGCTGCCTGTGAAATGCCCTCTGAGAATCCCCACAGCCACCAGCTGCACACAGAGATGCCTCGGCGACAGGCCTAGGGGGGCGCACAGCAGAAAGCCTGCTCCAGGCAGGAAGCGTGATGCTCTCTGCAGTGTCAGGAGCACGCCCTCTGCTGAGAGGGTGTCCAGGTGAAGCCCTGAGGACACTGGAAGGTGGAGGCGGGGTCCTCTCTCCCCGGCAGAGACGTGCGAATGGAGGCAGGGTCGGCCATGCGCCCTGGGCTCTCTGCCTCCGCAGGCTCCAGCCACGTCACCAACTCCTATAGGGCTGAGACCTGAACAAGGACCCTCCACGCCTGGGGTCACAGCTGTAGGCTCCTGCAGCGTGAGGGAGTGGGCACCATACAGGTGCCAGCAGCTAGGACTGCAGCCAGCTAGGCTGCCGAAGGCCCCGGGCACAGGGAATGTCACCAGGACCCCTCTCACCTCCAACCTGAGGAACACAAGATGGAACGGGGACTCCACACCACAAAGACCAGCAAAACGAGACCCGTTCCCAGAATCTAGCAGGAAGGCCTTCCCGCCTGTCCCTCCCTGACCCCAGACAGCCTGGCCATCTCAGTGGAGAGCTGCTGCCACCTAGTGCCAATGTCAGCAAGCGCATGCCCCGTGCCCACGTAGCCCAGGGAAAGGTGCCCCAGGGAAGGGTGCCCCTGGGAAGGCGCTTAGAGCCCTCACTGACACCGCTCCTCCTGAGACAGGCAGAACCTGCTGGAGCCACCAGGGACTTCAGGTGACATCCACACAGCACAAGGGCCCTGCAGGAGGGCACGGTGAGACGCTGTGGGCCACGTGCCTTTCCCCACCCTCCCCACTCCATCCCCCCCGTCGCCCACCAGGGCTGATTCCAGGGACTCTGTGCCAGGTCCCCAGTCAGGCTGGACTCCATCCCCGAGTTGGGACAGAACCACAAGGGTCAGAGCTGCCACCGACTCAAGCTGCACCCACGTCCCAGACCTCGTCCTCTCAGTGCCCTTGTCCATACGGGGACATGGAGCTTGGGCCCCAGGCATGCAGCTGGCCTGCCTGTGCCCACCAGGCCCTCGGCCTCCTCGTCCTCCTGGCCCTTCCCTTCACTGCCCACGGGTCGCTCGAGACCTGAGGGATCCGAGARCAGCAGTGCCAGAGGCCCACCTGTGACCCTCTTCCCTGGACCCCACTGGACCCAGGCAGCTCGCACAGCCCGGCACAGGGCCCGCAGAGGCCATCACTGGGGCTTGGGTCTTCGGCCAGTTCTTGCTGACCCTGGACAGTCCTGGTGTGATGTCATGTGGAAGCTGCAGGATGTACACCGCATCTGGCCCCAAGCAGGCCTCCATCCCGGACCCAGCTCCCGGGCCCTGGGCTGCTGTGGGGCCCCGGGCGAGCCCTTCCCTCCCCCAGGCCTTGGCCCGAGTCCTCCTCACGGGGAGACCCGCAGTGACTCATCAAAGCAGCAAGCCTCAGAGCACAGATACCAAGTGCACACCCAAGAGCCAGGCTGCGAGGCCACAGCGTGGAGCCCAGCAGCACCAGGAACTGTGCACAGCCACACCCTAGGCACCCAGGGKCATGCACCCCTCACGCCTCTCTCATCGCCACCCCTGCTCTACAGATGAGGAAACCTGAGGACAGAGAGGACGGAAACCTGCCTGGACACAGGGCCACCAAGGCCATGCCGACCCGCACCCTGGGCCACCACAACCCATGCATGGTGCAGGGACCTGGGTGGCATAAAGGGAGGAGAGCAGTTGTGGAGAGCAGGCACCCCGTGCCCCACAGCCCTGTCCTCGAGGCTCTGCCCTGGCTGGGGGCGGGACCCTCACGGGTCTCCTCCAGCAGTGGCTTTCTTCATTCAGTGGGCAGGCCGGCCCCAGTACCTGACTGCTGTGCACACCTGGACGCACCCTGGGCCCCCGGCTCCCCAGGGCAGAGGGGGATGCACAGGGTGTCCCCAGAGCACCCACCCACGGAGAGATCAGAGCAGCAGGCCACGCAAGAAGCCCCACCCCATCTGTGCCCAACCCTGAGGATGAGCCTGGAACACTGTCCCCAGCACCTTGAGGAACCCTCATGTGGCCCCAAACCGCAGGAGAGGACACTGGGACATGAGGACTAAGGGAAGGGAAGCAGGAGCATCTTGTGGATTTCAAGGTAAGATCCAAGGGCGCTGCTGTGCCATGGTCCAGGGCACACCCTAGCACCCTGCCCGCAGTCCACGGGGAACCCCACGCACCCCCAGGGCCCCACCAGGACTCCCAACCACGGGACCCAACTCACGTTCACACCAAAGTCGGGAGACGTGGAGCTCCAGATGGCACCAATGCTCGCTGTGGCCAGCATGGCCTCCACCGCATGCTGGCCATTGGGCAAGTAACCTGTTGGCATGGGAGGAAGCTTGGGATTCAGGTGGCATCCAGGCAGTGGGCTTCCAATGGTCCTGGGAGAGCCAGGCCAGGGTGGAAAGGGGCTGGCCAGCTGATGTCTGAGTAGCAAAACCACCCGCCACCAGGCTCTCTGTCCACTGCACTGTCCCCCCCGTCCACCCTCCACACTCTAGCCAGAGCCAGCCCTGCCCTTGCTGGCCTCCCCTCCCCAGTCACAGCAGGTTTCCCTCAGCCCCTGAGCTGTTCTGAGCGCCTCCTGCGTGGGGCCTTGGCACAGGCCGCCTGCTCTGTGTGCTCCCTCCGCACACACGCCCTTCCCCACTAGCCTCCAGCCCTGGACTCAGATGGGACTCCCTAGAGAGATTCCCACGGAGGCCAAGAACGTGGGTCCCCCGGCTCGTCAACCCAAACCCCTGCACTCCTGTCCTGCCAAGCTCATCGTGACACACGTGACACAAGCAACTGGCTGCCCGGGTCGGGGCCTCGCAGGAAGGGAGGGCTCTGCCTGCCTCAAGCTCCACTCAACCAGGAGCCTTTGCCCATGGCACGCCCAGCACAGCAAGGCCAGGGTACCTGTTGGCAGATGGAGGGACAGAGGGAAGGATGGAGGGGTGGAGGGAGGGAGGGAGAGAGGGGTGGATGGATGAAGGGATGGATGGATGGAGGGAGGGAGGGAGGGAGGGAGGGAGGGAGGGAGGGAGAGAGGGAGGAGTGAATAGATAGAGGGATAGAGGTAGAGGGAGGGAGGGATGGAGGAATGGAGGGACAGACAGATGTGTAGATGGCTGGACAGCGGGGTAGAGGGAGGGAGGGGAAATGAGCACAGGCCCAGCCTCGTGTGGGCATCTGAGGGCCGAGCAGGGCTGTGGCTCTGTGCCCCGAAGGCTGGCTCCATGACATAGCAGCAGAGAATGTCCCCCACCAGAGACCATGATCAACACTACAGACTGATCCACATTCCTGAGAGAGGACTTGGGAACAAGGCATCTGGAGCAGAAGGGTCCCTGTCCCCTGGGCAGCCCCTCCCTCTGCCCAGTCCCCGCCTGCTTGGCCACACAGCTTACACTTCTGTCCTCTGTGCTCGGGCATCTCCCCTGTGAGGCCAGGAGCACCCACTGGCCAGGCCAGGCATGGCTTGCTTGGCCCAGACACAGGCCCCAGAGGTCCCTGAGCCCACCGCAGGGAGGAACGAGGGTGGCCACTCGCCGAGGGCAGCAGGACTCCCAGCCCAGGGCAGTCTGCGAGCTCCAGTGACTCTCTAGTGACTGACAAGCAAGCAGCCCGTCCTCCTCCAAGCCCTCCAGCCCAGCACGGGCCCCTCCGCAAGCCTTAGCAAGCAGAACTAGGCCCAGACTCCACGGTGGCCCTCAGAGCCCCTGCCCACTCATCCCCTCTGAACCTGTTCCTGATGGCCCTTCTAGAACACAGAGGCCCCAAGCTGGTGACTGTGCTTGGGGGAAATGGGTTTCTAAGCTGCAGTCCACAAGAGGGACGGTGGCCTAGGCTGGCCTGGCCTTGAAGAGCCCTGGGCCCTGCAGCCAGCGCCTCCTCAGGAAAGCCCCACCCGGCACTCAGCCTCCCCCAGACCCTGCTCACTGCTCTCAGGAATGTGCTTCAAATGGAGATTTGAAAAATGAAAACTGGGGCTGGGGTGGAGTCCAGAGGCAGAGCACTTGCCCAGCTCAAGGGAGACACCGGGTTCCATTTTGTGGCAAAAATATATATAAAATAAAATAAAAATGGAGGCAAAGAAAAAATGGAGCCCACGAGAACCTTCTGCGCTGTCCTGCTAAACGTTAAAAAAGTGTGACTTACTGGGGGGAGGACAGTGAGATCCTATGCACCCAGCGGCACCCTGTGGCACCAGCAGTGGCCCTAGAGGTGTGCCAGGCCCTCTGCAGAGACACCGCGGGAGCAGAAGAGAAAGCCTGTCCCATAGTGTTGCAGGCCACAGCCCACATTCCAGGAACCCGGGGGCCAGGGGCTGCAAGAACAATGGAGCCTATGCTGGGAGGGGTGGCAATGGACTTGTCAAAGGAGGGCCAGGGTCAGCCTCCAACGAGGTCACGTTTGAGCACCTGGATGCGTGGGGTGGACCCTGTGGATACGCGGGAGAACAGCCGGCCGTCCAGAGCAAGATGGGGCGAGTGGGCATGTCCCTGCTAGTCACCAACAGCAGCTGAGCATRAGCTCCTTGCCCAGTCACCTGAGGGGACACAGGCCCCAGCCAGCCTTGTCCCTGGTTCACACGGGATGAGGCCACCTTCGTCCTCTTAGCAAACACAAGCTGAACACGCCTGTTCCCAGGAAGCTCCCTCAGAAGGGCACACCCTAGCCAAACAGCCCTGCCCAGCAGGACCTCCAGCCACTGCCCTGGACCCTGGCCCTCATCCACCACCTGAGGGGGAGAGGAGGGAGGTCAGGAGCCCCAAGCCCCGGGTCCACAGGAAGAAGCATTCCATCACCTTCATCCCTGCCTGTGTCCCCGTGCACACGCCTACTGGGCCCGGGGCAGCTCCACACCCAGGCCTTTCATTTTTTCCAGGAGTCGATGTAAAAGGAAAACTAAAAATCACTTCAATTGCTCCTAGCAGGAACTTGTGCCTTGCCACCAAGGGGACAGGAAGGGCCCAGCTCAGGGAGGGAGCAGAGCCAGGCCTCAGGCCTCGATCACCATCTGGCACTCCAGCCTCCCCCTTCTAGGTCAGCCCCCGCAGGGCCTCTCCCCAGCACTGGGCAGCTCCTGCCTGCCCCGCAGTCTCTAGACTCTACGCACCTTCCCTCGTTCCCCAGGTCAAGGGAAGGGCAGTCAAAGGGGCTGCGTCGGGAAGCCCTGGGGAGGCACTGAAGGGGGACCTGCCTTTCAGGATCAGCCTGGACCTGGCCCACCCTGCACCCCACAGCTCCTGATGCTGCCGGACAACCCTCCAGCTCCTGCCCAGTGCACACCCACACTGCTGCACCCCCTGGAGAGCCCTGGATTGTCGGAGGCTCAGGACAAGGCAGGAGCCCAAGGACAGGATCCCCCTTCACCAGCGGCTCCCTCTCCACACTCTGCCCACATCTACTTCTTGCCTCACGACAGTGCAGCCCTTCGGGGACAGGGACCCCAACCCACTCCACCCACGTGGAGCTCCTCAGCCCTCCATGCCGTGCATGCTGCCCTGGCCTCCCCAGGCCACTCCAACCCTAAGACACTCACCGACCACCCGGTCTCCTTGCCTCACGCCCATCTTCCTCATGGCCGCGGCAAACAAAGCCACCTGTTGCCTCAGCTCTTCAAAAGTCACCTTCACAATTTCCTCTTTGCCTTCCCCTGGGAGAAGAAAAAGACATGTGTACACACACCGTCCTAAAAGAAAGGTCCCCTACACCAGGCATGGTGGTGCACTGGGGAAGCTGAGGCAGGAGGACCACAGGTTCAGGCCCAGCCTCAGCAACACAGTGACACCTGTCACTACATAAAATACAAAAGGGCTGGGGATGTGGCTCCGTGGTCAATGCCCCTGGGATCAATCACCTGCCACTCAAAAAACAAATAAATAAATAAAAATGATGTGAGCTCAGGGTAGAAAACTTGACTTTGTGCATAAATAAGAAAATTAAACAACCGACCTCACTTGTTACCTAAGAATAAGCGTCAAAACAATGAGACTAATTTGCATCAAATAGACCAGTAGGGACAGACAGGAGGGGACAGTGGCCTCCATGCCCATACCAAGGCTGCTACCCTGGTAAGCTCTGCGCAGCCCCTCCCTTGTAGACCAGGCCTGGCTTGAGCAACCAACAAGATGTTGTGGACACCAGAGTGACCTCAGAGCTTTGGTCAAAAGAGACACTTAGCAGTGGCGTACGCCTGTAATCCCAGCAGCTAGGGAGGCTGAGGCAAGAGGATCACAAGTTCAAAGCCAGCCTCAGCAAAAGCAAGGCCCTAAGCAACTCAGTGAGACCCTGTCTCTAAATAAATACAAAACAGGGCGGGACCTGGGGCTCAGTGGCAGAGTGCTTGCCTAGCATGTGTGAGGCACTGGGTTTGATCTCAGCACCATATAAATAAACAAATTAAGTAAAGGCATTTTGTCCATCTACAACTACAAAAAAATTAAAAATAAATAAAAATAACATGATCTGGGCCAAGCATCTGGAGTCTTTGAGGATGGAGTTCCAGGTCGGTTTAAAAAAATAAATAAATAAAAAGGGCTGGGATGTGACTCAGTGGCCAAGAGTGCCCTGGTCCTAAAGGTGCACAGGATCTCCAACACACGACCTTGACTGAAGGCTCTCCGCATTTCCCCATGCCCAGCACGGTATGACCACACAGGTGCCCGACGATCACACACAGGTGCAGAACACCTGCTCAGCCCTGCGACCCTGCAGTGGTGCTATCGTCCTTCCCACGTCACACCTGCAGGAAGACTCAGTGCTTCCACAACTCACCCAAGGTCACATGGCTAATGAGTGTGGCCGGGCCTCGACCTCTCAAATCCAGGCGTCCACCCCTTCACCCCGCCTGACTGAACATGGAAACCCTGGGTAAAGACTGGGGTGGCCACAGAGGCAGGGACACTGGCGCCTGTGAGGGCACTCAGCGGAGACAGGGACCAAAGCAGCCGGGGCCCATGTGGAAGCCGGGGGCCAAGCGCCCTACATCCCAAGAGCTCTCAGCAGCAGACCTTGGCACGTCCCGAACAACAGAGGTCCGTCCTGACAACAGAAGGTTCGCCCCAGCTCCTGAGGCCCCTTCCCACAGCGTCATGACATAGCATGTGGCCTCTTGAGAGGCAGCCTAACTCACAGGGGAGAGCTGGGCCAAGAGGAACACCTAACCACATGGGGGACGCCAGGTGACTGCACACACTCCAGCTGAGCCAAAAACCACCCGGCGGCACCCTCACTATGAGCGGGGAGCCTGCCCCCATGTTCCATTTGCACAGCGGCTTCCAGAGACTTCTTAGCACCAACTGGGACCCACTTTCCACCTGATGGTAGAAGGAGAAGCCGAGGGAAGAGACTGCGGCTGCCCCGGTGGCTCAGGCCACTCAGTGGCGTCTCCGCTGCTCCTGGCGCTCCCCTCCCAGGAAAACCAAGGTCACAGTCTTCATCCTCTCRGGGAGGCATCAGCCTGTCGGGTGACAATCCCAGCCTGCGGCTCCTGCGTGCTTCAGGCCCCTCCGAACGCTCAGCACCACAGGCGTGCACTTGTGCGCCACCCAGAACCCCTGGGCACTCACTGGCCACGTAGAGGGCTACTTTGTCGTTCTCCTTGTGCCTCAGGAGGTTCTCTGCGTAGTTGAGACGACTGCCTTTGAACCACTCGGGGACGTCCGCGATCCCTTTGGACGTGTCCACGACCTTCAAAGGACAGAAAGCCAAGATGCATACACAAGCGCGTGCGCGCACGCACACACACACACACACAAGGCGCGCACTCAGCAGGAGTGCACCTTGAACAGGTGAAAGCTACTGCCAGGGGAAGCTGACTCACCCACTGCCCAAAGCCTTATCCAGTTTTCATTTTTTTTTTTTTTAATTTACTTTGCTACTCTAGTCTACTACTTTATTTATTTTATTTATTTATTTTTGGGTGGTGCTGGGAATTGAACCCAGGGCCTTCTGCATGCAAGGCAAGCACTCTGCCAACGAAGCTGTATCCCCAGGCCTAGTTATTTTATTTTACTGTATCACGGATTGAACCCTGGGGCGCAACCACTGAGCCACATCCCCAGCCTTTTTATCTTTGAGGCAAGGTCTTGCTAAGTTGCTTACAGTCTCACTAAGGAGTTGAAAAGTTCTTTATAAAATCCAGGCCAGTTTAAATCACTACATCAACATGCATGTGCTTACTACTGTTGAACCATACTCTATAAAATTGCTATAAGGGTAAATTTTATGTGTATTTTACAGTCAAAACAATTTGAATAGAGCCAGACAAGGTGGCACACGCCCACAAACATAGCAGCTGGGGAGACTGAGGCAGGAGGATGGCAAGTTCAAGGCCAGCCTCAGCAACTCAGCAAGGCCCTAAGCAACTTAGCATGACTGTCTCTGAATAAAACATGAAAATGGGCTGGGGAGGTGGCTGGGTGGCAGAGCACCCTGGGTTTACTCCTTAGCAGGGCTCAAGCTCCCAAAAGGGCCGGGGGTGCACCACGCAGAGCACTCACAGACAGCAGGCTCTGGGGGCAGGGGCCTAGACTAAACCTGCTCTCCAGGTCTGGATTTTCCCCGCCAACGTGAGGATTTCAAAGGAGACACCACCCAGCATTCCCCAAAACGGGCACCTCACCATGAAGAGCGCGAGGCAGGATCTCCACTTACCTCGTCGTACATGCGCGAGAAGACGATGCCACTGAATTCCCAGAACTCTGCCCAGAAGTCCGAGTACGACTCCACTGACCAGTGGTACAGGTCGTCATAACTCTCTAAGAACAAAAGGAGACTGCTCAGGGCTCAGGGACGTGTGGTGGGAGGCTCAGCAGGCCAGCAGGAGTGTCATGGCTAAGGAAGGGGGTGGCCCAAGGAGGAGCTCCACCAACAGGAACAAGCCCTCTGCCACCTGTCCCCAGAAGAAGTGTTACCCTGGAGCCAGATGCCAGGTGCTCCCCACCTACACAGAGGCAGGATTAACAGCCCCCCAGGGGATTTAAATGAGCACTTGTATAAAGAGCTTAGCGCAGGGCCGAGCAAGCCTGTGCCCAACAGACCTGGAACACCAGAACCACTAGCTTGTTGGTGGACTTCCTGCCAGGACAGGGTCCCAGGGAGGGGCTGTTATTTATTGTAATTTTTTAATAAGACATTCATATGATTTAGCATTACAAAAATATAACAAGCCAGCGCGCTCGCCTGGCATGCGTGCGGCCCGGGTTCGATCCTCCAGCACCACATACAAACAAAGATGATGTGTCCGCCAATAACTAATAAATAAATATTTAAAAAAAAAAAAATATAACAAGCCTCCCTCTTGCATCCCACAACCATCTACCTCTCCTTGTCCAGAGATCGCCAGTTACAGGGATTCTCCGTGTCTTGGCAGAGAGTGAGTGACATGCCCCTCCCCAACCCTTCCACTCCTGCAAGCCCACTGGTCACACCAGGCTCCCGTGGGGACATCTCCTCTGCCTTTGGGCCCTTCCAATTTTTTTTTCTTTTTTTTTTTCTTTTTTTTTTTTTGGCACTGGAGACTGAGCCCAGGGCAGTCTGCCACTGAGCCACAGCCATAGCCCTTTTTATGTTTTTTTGTTTGTTTTTGAGACAGGGTCTCATTAAGTTGCTCAGGCTGGYCTCCAACGTGGGATCCTCCTGCCCTGGCCTCCTGAGTCACTGAGATTACAGGCATGCGCCACCTCATGCACCGCCACGTGTGGCCCTCGGTGAGCTTCCAATAGGATGCTACCTTCACCTGCATTTGCAAATCCAGAGAGGACTATGGGCTCCCTCACCACTGGGTTCACCTGGGATCAATAGTAACATTTCCTCTCTCTTCTCTCACAGAGATTGTGGGAGAAAGGAGTGTGTGTGCAATTTGTATCACAAATGCAGCCTGCTTTACCCTCTGTCCTGTAACTGGCTTGTCTCACTGAAGATATCACAGACCTCTCCACTTTGGTGCGGAGGGAGCTGCCTCCTCCCTGGGTGTAAGGGCTGCCCGGTGTTCCACTTGGGGAACCAGGACTCAGTCAACCACACTCCTCCAGGATGTCTGGGTTGTCTCCGGGCTTCAAAGACCAATTATACATGGCTGTAGCTGTCTTTTTCTTTTGGGGGGGAAGTACTGGGGATTGAATCAGGGGCACTCACCCCTGTGCCATGTCCCCAGCCCTTTTTTGAGAGACAGGGTCTTGCTGAGTTGCTTAACGCCTCGCCTTTACTGAGGTTGGCTTTGTACTCATCATCCTCCTGCCTCAGCCTCCTGAGCCTCTGGGATCACAGGCATGTGTCACCATGCCCAGCGAAGCTGTAGCCTTTAACAGGACAAGAGCAACACAAATTTGCAGAAGAAATCCAAACTACCTGAGATGGACAGTCATCGACACATAGCTGAACCCAATGCCTCAGAAATCAAGGCCAACCTGGGAGGGACAGAGGCGCACATCTGGGAGCAGGAAGGAGAACCCCAGGGGCCGCCGAGAAGCGGCGGTGAAGTTAAAAGACCACTGTCCCTCCAGACACTGTGGCACACCCCTGTAATCCCAGCAGCTCAGAAGGCTGAGACAGAAGGATCACCAAGTTCAAAGACAGCCTCAGCAACTTAGTGGGGTCCTGTCCCAAGATTTCAAAAAAATACATATATTTGGTTTTGTTTGTTTGCTTAAAGGGCTTGGGGACGTAGCTCAGTGCCATCTAGATGAAACGGGAAACAGAGCTGGATCGCATCCCTACGGGAGGCCTCACTTCTCTGTAAACTGCCCCCAGCTGACTGAGGGCTTCACCCTCCATGGGCACAGGGTCCAAGTGACTAACCAAAACGAACCAGCAATCCTGAGGCAGAGGGGACGGCTGTGCTGGAGGCCCAGGGGAAGCCCCAGGCACAGCCCACTGGTGGGACACTGGGACAGCAGGAAGATGACCGACCAGAGCACACTACACCCACGCTCAATCATCACGGCGGTCCACACACCAACACTACCCCTCCTCACAGTCCCCAGGCCTGAGGGGCAGAGGAAGAGGCCTCGTGACACTGAACTTGGGCAGTGTCCCTTCTGACTGTAGGGTCCAGTAACTCCTCAGGCATGCTGGACTCAGGGGGACAGGGCCAGGGCTGGCCTGGCCTCAGGACACAGTCTGGACACTCGGGTCTTCTGGGCTACAGCAGTGCCAAGAGCCCAGGTGCAGATAGCTGGTATGGGCAGGGGTGGGGGGACGCTGACCGCCCTGAGGGAAGCAGGGAGCTCAGAGGCCGGAAGATCACTGTCAGAGGCAGACCCCAAGGACCTTAGGGCTCCAGGCCCAGAAAGCAGGGATCTGGTTCACAGCAAAGATGCCCAGACAGGGCCCCAACCAGAAGCGTCCAGTCAGGACAGCCCAGACAGGGCCTCAGGAAGGCTGTGGCTGGCCTGACTCCAGCCACCTTGCCTCTGGGGACTCAGTTTCCCTCAAGGGTCACCTTGAAACTACTGGGTAGACCCCTGGCTCCTCCCACACGGGTGCAGTGGTCACCTGGGCTCCAGGGTCAGGCTGGATGGCCAGGGTCGAATCTGGCTCTGCTGCTCCTAGAGGGTGGCCGGGGCAAGCCACCCCACCTGGGAGCCTCAGCACAGGGCAGCTAGAGAGGCTCCTCTGAAAGGTTCCTGAGTGTGGGGGTGCAGCTGAGCAACACAGCAGTCCCAGCACGCTCAGGGCCCCGGGGTTGAGCCTCAGGACAGCGAATGAATCAATGAATGAATGAATCAAAGGCTCTCAGTAGAGGTGCAGTGGTGCACGCCTGAATCCCAGCTACCTAGAGACTGAGGCAGGAGGAGCACAAGTTCGAGGCCAGCCTCTGTGACTTTGTGAAACCTTGTCTCAAAAAAAAAAAAAAAAAAAAGGGTGGAGGTTAGGGATGCAGCTCAGTGGTAGAGCACCCCCGGGGTCATCCAGAGCTGCAGAACAAGCAAATAGAAAAGGTCATAGGGTTGTGGTGAGGACCCTCTGGGGATAGGCTCCTAAGTTCAACTGGGTTTGAATCCTGCCACTCTAATGGGGTAACCCTGACATATTACTTCTCTGTGCCTCAGTTGTCTCTTCCATAAGAGGAGGATAATGGTACCTATCCTAGGGTCACTGAGTCAGAACACAGGAACTGCTTGGGACTGTGCTCAGCAGAGAGAGGGTGCCCAAAGGTGTGGCCTGGCATCACCCCACCATCTGCAGGGAGGTGGCACACCCAGCCAGCCCGTGCAGATGGGAGGCACGCCCCAGGAAATGCTAATTAGCAGGAAGATGGCTCCCTGCTCCTTGGTCGAGAGGGAGGAAGGCCAGGTGCTTCTCAGAGAGGTGGCCCTGGCACCCGTGGGAAGTGGCACTGGCTGAACAGGACCTGCAGCTCCTCCGCCCTAGGTCTGTTTGGGGTTTGGTTTTTTGATCCTCAAGCACAGCGGCGTTCCAGCTGCAAAAGTTCCCCCCTTGACATGAGACAGGCAGAGGGTGGAAGTCCAGGCCTCCAGAGAAGGCCCTGGGCCCATCGCAAAGGGGCATCCACCAGCAGCGTCACCAGGGAACAAAATGTAATGGCACTGGGCATTTGGGGACCAGGTGGTCACAGTGACACTTTAACCTGGAGGACCATGGGCCCCGATGCCGAGTTGCAACATGAAGCCAGATGGCCTCGGGCACCTGCTCACAAGAACTGGAACTAGTTGCTAAAACACCTCAAAACCTGATGTTTTAAATGAAATTCTGAATGTGGGCTTCTCCTGAGAAAGGGAGTGTGTGACCCTGGTGGGCAGCCACCAACACCTACCCAGGCGCTGCCACCGCTGGAACGGTCCCCTCCCCAGCGTGAGCAGGCCGAGCTGTGTGACCAACGGGGCAGTGTGGAAATGACAGCTTAAGAGACACTTGAGCTTCTACCCCTGGTCTGGGAGAAGCCTGCGGCCATGCCAGGAGGACACCCAAGTGGCCTCTGCCCACAGCCAGCACCAAGCTCCCGCGTGGAGGGAGCCACGCAGCTCCTCCGTGTCAGGCCTTGGGACGCCTGTGGCTCCTGAGACCCCAGGCCAGAATCACCCCACTGAGCAGCTCCTCAAGTCCCGAGCACAGGTGGGGTTTCAAGTCACCAAGGACTGGGTGATGTGTGGCAGTGAGGGATAAAAAGTGCACTTCATGCACCACACGCCATCACCCTTTTAAGCAGCACTCTGCTAAATGGGTGCACAGTAGGAACTCAACCGCAGGCTACCTGACGTTCATGTGAAGCCCACAGGCTCTCTCCCCGTGGCAGCAGAGCTGTGACAACAGCCACCAAGCTTCCTGTCGGCAGACTCTATCCTGGTCATGCACACATAAAGGTGTCCTCCAGCTCACAGGACACAGGACACAGGGTGCAGCGCACCAAAAGAGCAGCATATCCTTTGAAGCTTGTACTGTGACCCTGGTCCCTAATTAGAGAAAGTGGCACATGCAGAATGTCCCCTGGGGCCTTGCAAAAAAGGATCACATGCACAAGTTGGGCTGGAGCTGCAGGCTGCATCTGAGGAAGTTGGCATCAGGGGACCCTGAGCCCCACGTGGCTGTGCAGGGAGCCTCAGGCAAACTGGCTGGGAGCAGTCGTGGAAAGGAAGCAGATGACTTCACCAAGGCCCTGCACCTCCAGAAATCCAGGGACAGCAATCTCCCCCCACTGGCACAATGGCACAGTGGCCAGCCTGTTCCCACAACTCAGGAGACTGAGGCAGGGGGATCACAAGTTTGAAGCCAGCCTTGGCAACTTGGCAAGGTTCTATATCAAAATAAAATCTGGGGATGGAGCCAGTGGTAGAGTGCTTGCCCATCATAGTGAAGCCCATGGTTTGGTCCCCAGGACCAAAAAAAGAAAAAGAAAATCTCCTGCCCAAGGTGCAAGGAGAGGCAGCCAGGGTGGAGAAGGCCCCTTCCTCCCTGCACAGTCCAGGGCTGGGGCAGCTGGGGACGCAGAGCTCTGCACAGAGCCACTCAGTGGCACACTCCAGGCTGTGCCAGCTGTGAGGAGCCGCAGCAGGAGGGCTGCTGTGCAGCAGTAAGAATGCCCACAAATGCAGGAGCAGATGGGCAGGACCAAAGCCCAGATCACATGCACCTGGAGAGCAGAGGAAAGGAGAAAATATTCAAAGGAAAGATGGCCTTTGAGTTAGACCTTAAGGCAAAGCCCAAAACCTCCAGGAGCCAGCATGTGAAAAGGGAGAAGCAGGTGGGAACACATCACCTGAAGTGTGCCCCAGAGGAGGAAAGAGTCAAATAGCATGGACCCTTCCCTGTCCACACCACAGGGAGCTCCACGCTGCTCCCACTGAAGGGCCAGGTGGGTGCAGACCAGCGCTGCAGGCCCTGGGGTTTCAGGAGCTAGGAAACTTGCTTTTCATATGCAGCCTTCCAACTTTTTTTTTTTTTTTTTTTTTAGCCTTCCAACTTTTAAAAGCTGGAAGCTCAACACCACATCTGCAGGTCAAATCTGACCCAGGGACCAACAGTCCAAGAGCCTGGACAGAGGGAAAAACTGGGAGCCACCAGTGCCGGCTGATGTCTGCCTAGCAACCCACAGGCCAGGAGCAGAGTTGCACCTGGACCTGACCATCTCCTGGCACCCTCACATGCACCCAGTGCCACAGACCCTGAGGAAACAGCTTGGGCTAACTGATGACTTCCTCCAGGTCACATGGCTACCAAGTGCAGTCAGTTAAAAATGCAGGTAGTCAGGTTACAGGTCCCTCTCTTTGCCACTTGCTAGGAGCAAGGAGGTTTTGCCCACTCCCAGGGCTGCCCCTGTATGAAACTGTGTTGTAAAGCTACCAGGGGATCAGTATTAGATGACGCTGGCAGAAGAAACAGACGAAATGAAAGGGGACACAGAAAAATGAAGTAACTCCCCAACACAGCCTGCTGGCTCCCCCTGAGGTCAAGTCCACCCACAGCCTAGAAGCCTGAAAGTGGTAAGAAACACACTCTGTCCAAGTGAGGGGGGGTGGGGTGGAGCTGGGTTGGGCAAGGAAAGGGACCCTGTGCAAGGGCCACCAAGCTAAGGGGAACCTGGGAGCTGCCAGGAGCAGTGTGCGGTCCCAAGGTCAACAAGGAACCATGGAGAGTTTCTGGGCCAAGGAGTGACAAAGTGAGACCTGTGCTTCAGGATCATTCTGGCAAAGCAGGCAGGGTGTGCTGAGTGGGGAGCAGGAAGCAGGAAGAGCAGCCCCGGCTCAGAGAGGAGGGGAGGAGGCTGCCAGGAGAGGGCTGGCTCCAGGCTTCAGGAAAGCCATGCTGGGGAGGGAGGCTCCAGGCTGCAGGGCCAATGACCCCTCTGCATTTTTGTGAAGCTGACCAGGAGAGCGATGTCACTAACAGACATGAGGGAGACCATGCAGCTGAGGAGGTGGGGGTGGGGGGAGAAGGCCAGGATGAGTTAAAAATCCCTGAGGACACCCAGGGCCACCAGGAGCAGGCAGCTGCACAAGCCATGCCAATGAGTGCCCAGGAAGGAGCAGAAGTCCCTCACCCAGAAGAGGGACTTCTATCCATGCACATCAGACAGGGGCTTCTGAGAGCCAAAGGGTGGCTGGAAGGAGGATGTGTTTGGGGGCTGGGAGTTTAAACATAAGAGGAAGGGACTCTACCCTTTTCCCAAAGGTAGGCTGCTATGGCACATCCCACTGAGTGCTAGGGAATCCATGCTGGCCTCTAGTAAAGGCGGCTTGGAAATCAGAGGGGGTTGACACCGGACCCCACCAACAGTACATTAGGGAAGAGCCCCTACAGGCTGGGAGCCAAGACTCCAGAGGAGCACCGAACAAGTAGAAAACCCGGCAAGGGACCTCAGCGAACAGGAGGCTGTCACAGCCAGAGGAGTGACCCTCCCGGGAGAGGGCGACCCACGTGCCAGGAGATGCTGGTCAGGAGAGGCGTGGCACCGTGACAGCAGGGGTGCCACTCCTCAGGGACAGGAGCACGCCCCCCCGCGTCCGGAGGACGCCACCCCCAGGAAAGGTCCCTGCGTCCGGTTGCTCCTCCGATCGCAGCAGCGGGACACTGGACCTCAAGAGCGCATCCCAACCGCAAGGAGGGGCCGGGACCGCCACTCCCTTGGAAAAGGGCACGCCCTTCCCAGGAGGAGGGACCCTCCCTCCGCCCGGTTGGTCCCGGGACCCTAGAGACCCTCTTCCGGAGGGCCCTGGGGTGGCCGGTGCCTGCGCCCCGCACTCACCCAGCGCCAGGCCGCAGGCGGAGCCCACTGCCGCCCGGAAGCGGTCCATCTGCGTGTCCCTCTTGCTGTCAGGCTCCCACAWCACCTGGCACTCCATGATCTCCTCGCGCCCGGGGCGCGCCTGCCTGGACATGGCTGCGAAGGCTGCGGCGGGGACGGAGTCGCACGGCGCTGCGGGCGGCAAGACTGAGCCGGCGCTGCTGCGGCCTCCAGCGGRACACCCGCGAGGCCACGCCCCCGCTGGCCCCTCCCAGGACAGGCCACGCCCACCGCTGTAACCCTCCGCCGAGCCGCGCCTCGGAAAGGAGTGCTGGGCGCAGGCGCGCTAGGCCGCCGCCCGCCCACACCTGCGGCCCGGCGGTGCGAGCAGCTCCCGGGGCTCGGCGTGGTTCCCTCCCTCGGTGCTGGTGCGCTCCTGTGCCGACGCTTACTGAGCGCCTGCGGCGTGGCGTGCACCGATAGCGGGTGGGGAACAGGAGGGCGTGACAGTGCGGTGGTCGGACAGCTGCCGTAGTCCACACGGTGTATCCGGGAGTGTCCTTGCCGACATTGTGCAGCGGGGCGTGTAGGGTATAGAATCTGTCCAAAAAAAGGCACTGAGCCGGGCGCGGTGGTGCACGCCTCCAGCGATATGGGAGGTCCGTGCAGGAGGATCGCAAGTGGGTGGTCAGTCTCAGCAATTTTTTGTGAGTCCCTAAGAAATTTAGCCAGAGTCTGTCTCCAAATAAACAAGGGGGCTGGGGATGTGGCTCAGTAGTTCAGCACCCCTAAATTCAATCCCTGATTAAGGGACAAACAACAACAACTAACAAAAAAAAAAAAAAAAAAAACTTTTGAGTTCTATGGAGAGAAAGCCAGGGAGCGGTGTAATCCCTGGAAGAAGATGTGTGTCCATTTAAATAGGGGTGCCAGGAAAGGCCCCTCTGGAGGTGGACTTCTACTTGAGACTTGAAGAGGTGACACCAGTGAGCTATTCCGTATCTGGGGATAAGTTTCTAGCATCAGGAACAGCCAGTGATCTGTCCTGTTCCTGTTGGGTGCTGTAGGGAACTTGGGTGCCTTTGACCTGAAAGACCTGGGGGGAAGAAAGGTCATCCAGGAAAGAGGTGGTAGCTCAAGTGGAGCCTGGGACCAGCAGAGAATTTGTCTTTGACTCTATAAAGAGATGAGAGCATTGAAAGTGTTTTTTGTTTATTTGCTTTTGTAGGGGGAGGTCCCTGGGGCTGCCCAGTAAAGAATAGTGTATCTTGTTTGGCTTTTTTGTTTGTTTGTTCTTTGTTGTGTGCACAGAGAGGGCGAGGAACCGGTGGACCCTGCAGCCCAGAGCCTTTCCTTCAGCATTAATCCCCTCTTGTGGGGGGGTGGAGTCCTCCCACCTAAACTCTCCCTCTGGGTCCCACCTCCCTACACTGCAGCATTGGGTACGAAATTTCCAATGCATGAACCTTGGGGACACGTTTAAATGATAAGTCTTCGGGAGGAAAGATAGAGCAGCTATGATCATATTGCAAGGGATGATGTTGGTGGCCAGACTCAGGTGACAGCTGGGAGAGAAGAAAGGGGGCTGAGGGTCTATTTTGGACGCGGGGCCCATCTCCCACTGGACGCTGTCCCTGGGTTCCATGTTCATGTGTTAATGGCGTCAATCAGCAGCAGTCCCTCGGCTTCCCACAGACAGAGCCCTTTGCTGCGTTGGAGTGGATGCAGCAATCCCCGCCCCCACCTTTTGTCTTTAACAGTTCTCCCGGCCCCACAACTACATTCAAACTTAAATCCCCACAACCACATTCAAACTTGCTGTGCACTATGACTTCCCTGATCTCCAAATTTTAGGACCGCCTCCAGGTCCCTGCGTCTGCTACGGTTTGTTATGGACAATATGCAATGGCAAAAGATAATGGGAATCTCATTTTTCTCAAGCGTCTCAAACCATGGTGTGTCTTTGCACCTATAGGAATAAATGGGTGTTCATATAAAACTGGGAAAAATGAAATTCCTGTCTTGGGTAGAGAACCCTAAGAAAATCCACCTGATGAAATCCACCTAAGAAAATCTTACCCTCAGTAAGATCCACACTGTGTCCTTGCAAATGGACTCCCAGCTCGGAAGTCCACAGGCCTGGCTGTACCCAGCCCGGGTCTGTCTCCCAGTAGAAGCTTCAACACAGGCTCGCAGGAGCTTTTCTTCCCCGAGATGAGGAGTGGCCATAAGTGGGCCCAGCCCAGTGGACACTCACTGCAGGATGGCTTAGCCACGGAGTCCAGGCTCAGGGCTGCTGCCTGAGGCCCTTTGCCTACAGTGCTCACCAAGGCCACTTCCCTTTCTCCCTGTAGGCCTCTGTTCACTTGAGGATGTTCATCACCTCATGGTTCAGTTGAGGCCACATGGTCTTATGATATGAGGCCACCAGTAATGACAAGAGACTGTCAGATCCCCATGCCAGGACGCCTCTCTCACAGGAGCCATGATGGCAAAGTTAGAACCCTTGATTTTGAAATTAAACAGCTTATCGCCCAGGCTGCCAGCCAATGCTGCCCAAGGTGAAACCTGAATTTGGGGCTTGGAAACTCAGAAAGGCTGGCAACCTCGGACTCCACTTAGCTGGAGCTTAGAAGCGGTTCCCACACCTGAGAAATGGGAATGTTCTCCTTAATCGGTCCCGGTCCCCACCAAGCCCCCATGTCCCCTCCACATTTTCAGACTTCCCGTTTTAACCTTTTTTCATCAAAATCATTCAGCTGGGGAGCCTCATATTTTCACCAGAGCACATGGGGATTTGCTGTCTGGGAGGAGACGTGATGCTTGGAGTCTTGCAGCCAGGGAAGGGCTCCTTCTTACTCTTCGGGGCCCAGTTTTTTTTTAAATGTCTTAGAATTAGGTTGCATGGTGAGAGAAGGTAAAGAAGAAACCCTTTGCCATGGGTTTTTGCCCTTTGAATCAGCTTCCAACCAGGAAGAACATAAATCCATCCACTCAACACTGGATTATGTCTTTATTGAGCACCTACTACACTCCGGGTGTTATTTTAGTGCTTGGGATGCAATATGCAATGGCAAAACGGGGGGGTGGGGCTGATGTGACTTTCATTTTGAGAGGATCATCTGGCTGCTGCGTGGTCAGAGGGTGCAGATGGATTTGGGACAGAGGGAGTACTGCAGGCAGGCCTGGGGGAGGGCCACATATTGCAAATTCCCATGTGGCATGTGTTGGCTTGGACGAATGGATGGGAAGAGGCAGATGAAGAGGAGGCTCTTTACCTACTAAGTGGGACGTGACTATCCACAAGTCTGTAAGGGTTTAACTCTGTAGGCTCACAGGTGAGTTCACCTTTAAACTGCTGTAAATCCCTAGTAGCTATATGCACAGAGAGGAGCAGGAAGTGAACCTAACTGGGGGACCAGAGAAGCCTGGAGCTCATCAGGATTTCCTCTTTTGGCCTCCAAGGAGAGTTGTGCCAGCTCTCCCCGATACCTCAGGGGCTGTGGAAACCAGGCAGCTGCCAGTGACCCAGGGCCAGAGGCACCTGTGATGTTGCAAAGCTCAGCCTCCTCCGCCTCCCTGGCCCCAACAAGAAAGCAAGACGTGGCCCCGAACCCGAGGGGAGAAGGCGCTGAGGGGCCCTGGGAAATACTGGGCAGCAGTGAAAATGCCTTCCGGGCACAAGGCCAGCTGAACCCCAGAACGGCTGGCCAAAGAAAGCCGACCTAACCCTGCACACGGTGAGAAGCTCCAACTCAAGCCAACCCCAGAAGGCCCTTGTTGGGAGCACACAGGTAGAAAAATAAAAGAGAGCACTGAGGCTCCGTGACCTCCAAGGCACCTGGTTCTTCCAAGGGACCCGAGGCGGGAAGATTTAGGGAGGGATTTACAAAGACCCTGCTCATGCCCACTGAGCTGGGCAGGACAGTTCTAGAACTGTACAGACCCACTGTGCTCAGTCTTTGAATATTTTGCACATCTCACAACTTACAAAAATAAACAAAAGCAGGTCCCGAACATGGGCTGATTTTTTTTTTTTTTTTTTTTTTTTTGGTACTGGCATTGAACCGAGCTCTTTTTTGTATTTTATTTACGGATAGGGTCTCACCAAAATGCTTGGGGCCTGCTAAATTGCTGAGGCTGGCTTTGATCCCAAGCCTGTGGGATTACAGGCGTGCGCCCACGGAGCGTGCTGATCTTAAGAGTCTTACTTCAAGCCTGGGTTGAAAACGTAGAAACAAATGAAAAGCCCAGCAATGGGGGAAACAGGGGATAAAGCAGCTTTTGAAGTAAAACTCATTAAGATCAGAAGGCTGAGGTCGGAGGTCACCTGAGAAGAGGAGTTCAAGCCTGGGCAACAWGATCATGCCAAAGAAAGAAGAGTTAAACCCATTAAACATTCCTATATATTCCTATATATAGATCCTAAACTTTAATATATATGTATAGAAGAAAAACTAGGATATTATAGTGGGTGGGAAAGTGATGGCCCCCCAAAAGATATATCACCTGGAACCTGTGAGTGAAACCTTATTTGGAGAAAAAAATCTTTACAGCTGTGTACCAGGTAAAAGACCTTGAGATGGGAGATCATCTTGGATCACCTTATAAGAGACCCCTGTAGTCAGATGTTGGGGCTGGCGCCTGTGGTCTCAGCTACTTTGGAGGCTGAGGCAGAAGGATGACTTGCACCCAGAGTTTGAGGCCAGCCTCAGCAACTTAGTGAAACCCTGTCTCAAAAAAAGAAAAAGCTGGCTGGGCACGGTGGGCACTTCTGTAATACCAGCGGCTCAGGAGGCTGAGACAGGAGGATCCTAAGTTCAAAGCCAGCCTCAGCAAGGGTGAGGCACTAAGCAACTCAGTGAAACTCTGTCTCTAAATAAAATACAAAAAAGAGCTGGGGACGTGGCTCAGTGGTCGAGTGCCCCTGAGTTCAATCCCTGGTACCAACTACAACAACAACAACAAAAGGAACAGGGGGAGGTCATGTGATGCACAGGCAGAGACTGGAGTGATCCAGACAAGCACCAAGGGACCTAGGACACTGAAGAGTCAGAAAGGTCCTCCCCAGAGCCTCAGGAAGGAGTGTAACCCCGCCAACACCTGGATTTTGTCCTTCTGGCCTCTGCCCCYAGTTGGTGTGCTCTGTCATGGGGCCCTAGGAAGCCAATGGACATTCATTCAACTGTGGGCAGTGGAAACCGTTTCCTCTGGGGAGGGAGGACTGGGGAGGTGTCAAAGGTTCCTGCAG